CTTAGGTAGTCTGGACTTCTCTCTGAATGATGTGCTGTTTATACTTCATCTTATTGGATATTGACTCAATCGCCTCAAGTGTGTGGTTGAATAATATTAATCACCTGGATCAAGACAGGAGACTTTACATTGTCCTAAACTTTATTTGATTTTTGGGAGGTAAGTGTCAGCCATGCATTGTGACTGCATACAAATTACATCTGCAGTTATTGGATCTGAATGTTTTAAATGTCTTGTTTCTCTCCTATAACTTTATTCTCAGTTATTTGGATGCAATTTCCTCTCCTGTCACCCTCTTGGCAGAACAACAGCCCCGGCATTTCTTTACAAAATGTTGCCATGACACTTTTCATCCCCTTTCATTTAAAGCATTCCTATTTCACACATTTATGGGCCAGTGACTCATGCAATACAACCGAGTATCTCATCTCAATGAGGGACAAAGCTGAAGGAGCACTGGGGCTGAACGCTGTGAGAAGCTCCAGTCCTTTTCTTTCCGATCAGTACACAGCGACCTTGCAGCCGCGCGGCGCCGAGTCAGAGAAAAGACAACCTTAGTGTTTTCAGATTGTTTCTTTTATTCTGCCCGCCTCTGTTTGACCCTATTCCTTATCTGAGCAAGTGCAGATGGCCCTATACAAATCTATAGGAAACACATACTGCATGTTGTGAAGCAGTCGCTCTGTTTGAAAAAAGGTATTTTGTATTATGTCTAACATTACTTTTATTATACAGTATTTTGTTTGTGGCAAACATACGCGTATACATATAGCTTATAGCACAAACTATATTTGCTATCAATAGTTATCTTCTTGAGGATTTTTCAGTAACAAAAGATAAGATTGATTTTCATCTTCTAATTGTATCCGTCTTAGGGTCTTAGTTTTAAGTCTTCTTCAATTTAACTTGATGTTTATTTTAAAACACGGCAGGGCTACTTCAAGATGTATATTTCGAGCCACATTAACCACAGGAACTTCAACCATTTCTTTGAGTTTACGCTTTATTAAAGGTCACCTGTTATGCACTTTTTCATGTCTTTTATACACAAATATGTGTCCCATCTGTTTTCAGAGACTCTGAAAGTTTAAGGAAAAAAGATTCTCACTTTTTGTCCTGATCCATTTATATGAAAACCTGTCTGAATATGAGCTGATCAGATTTTGGCCACTTTATGATGTCATAACGATTTTTTTTGGCTTGTGCAGCCAATCACCAACCAAGGTAACACCCTTATCACTTGAATCTCCTCCTAGAGCACCATTGTGTTTCTTTGAACCAATCACTCTGCAGAGGGGCGTGGCCAGCAGCAGCTCATTAGCATTTAAAGCTACAGACACAGAATCAGAACTTTTGGAAAAGGGCTGAAACAGAGGGGTTTACGGCATGCTACAATGCATGATCTGTTTGGCATTTCGAGCCAAAGACCTATAATATATTGTTAAAAAATAGTATAATGGGGGACCTTTCAACATTGCGGTCTTTTTCAGTGAAAGAAAAAGGGACAAAACAAATAAGTAGGTTAGTGATTTAAACATAACTGACATACATCAAACATTTCAACTCGAGAAAAAACATTGCCCACAACATTAAATCCCTTGAAAGGTCTCATTAATGGGTCCTGTTAGGACTCGGAGCTATCCGCTCCCTGCTTGAAAGGTTGACCCCATTGCTACTGCGCTCAACCATTTGCTAGCTTTTGGCAAGACTAGCTGAGCCACTATTGAGCTACTGCCTTATTAATGGAGTAAGGTATTGAAGCTCAAAAATGTATGTTTAAAAATGATAGGAACAAATAAAAAAGTTAGCTTCAGCTAAAGACATCTGACAGCTGACTAAACTGAAACTAAAAACCCTGTTGTTTTAATTTAAATGCTGTTTCTCTGTACATTCTGATTCTGGTTTTAATAACATGTTAAACAAACATGTAGTATATGTCTTCAGGGTCTTTCTCTGTTTGTATTTCTAAACCGGTTCATTGGTTCAAGAACATTTGGCCACAGGGATGACATTGTGCCTGCTGGCTAACACTTGCATAATTACAGAAATGTGGATTTAATGTGCAATATCATGAATAAAGAATATAAAATGAAATAGATTGAATATATACAGGGTCCTAAACTGACTTATTTAAAACAAGAAGTATAATTAATTAATGTTCTGTAATAAATTGCGTATAATTATGTAAAAGAATATTCAACATTGTATCGTTTGTATAAAATGCATAAATGCCTAGTTGTGTCTCCCTTTTTCCCCAGACACAAACAGAGCAGGTGTTCATTATTTTCTGCTATTTGATGCTTTTATGAATTGTACCTCAATGCAATAAATCATATTGAATTGAAACCATTCCTGTCTGTGTTTGTCGACTGTGTATAACACGGGCCGACTGCTCCGCTGATGTCATTTGTTCTTGTCAGAGCCATTGTTGACTCCGTTGTGGTCAGCTGTTTTTCACTGAAGCACCAGCACCCATCCCTGACATAATTGGTGTGGAGAGAGCACGTAACGACTATGCATTTTTAATGAGGAGACTTTCAATACTCATAAACAGGAGGCAGGAGAGTGGAGATATGACAAGGAGGGAGGGAGGGAAGTCGGGAAGAAGCCCAAAAAGATAAGGGCTTTATTTATTCAGAAATACTGTGAGGGTATTTTGACAGAGTTGGCAGGCTGCTTGTTCTTCATTGCTGTGTGTGTGTGTGTGTGTGTGTGTGTGTGTGTGTGTGTGGTGTGTGTGTGGTGTGTGTGTGTGTGTGTGTGTGTGTGTGTGTGAGATTGTGTAAACGTGTGTGGCATGAGCTGTTTGCATGAAGGAGTGGGAGTCATGCATCTCTGGAGGCTTATGCATTATATTGCTATGTTAATGCATTCATGCATGTCTCTGCCATGGCATCAATTTAATACAGTAGGACCATAACATACACGTGTGTGTGTGTGTGTGTGTGTGTGTGTGTGTGTGTGTGTGTGTGTGTGTGTGTGTGTGTGTGTGTGTGTGTGTGTGTGTGTGTGTGCGCGCGTGTGTTTTTGTCAGAAAAAGTGAAACTGGAAACTGGAGTCGGGGGGAATAAGATAATAAAGGAGAGAGACTCGATGAATACTGAACAAAGGCGTCAAGCATGTTTTGAAGATAACACAAAAACGCAGTACGTCTATTGAACAGCGAGTGCTGTGACAGCTTCTTGGCTCCTCTTTTTGTTAGACAGGGACTCTCAGAGAGTGTGTACTCGAAACTGAAGGAAAGAAGAACAAGTCAGATAAAAAGAGACAGAGAAAGCACCAATTGTGCCCCTTCAATAGTCACAAGGGGGGAAATAGCATGTTTCCTCTTGTCTATCAGTGACTCAAGAACCATTAGCTTAATTATATGGAGGAACTGAGACTGGAGAGACTGTGTTTGTTTGAAGCAGAAGAGACAGAGTGTATTACTTTGGATAACAAGGACAGAAAGATGGAGAGATTTTACTTTGTGTCCCTCTGTACCTCAAACTAATACAAAGCCTGCATTTAATAAGAGGTGCTGTCTGTGTGTGAGTGAATTGATTAGTTTAGCATAAAGAGTGGAAGCAGGGGATTCAGCTTGGCTGGTTCTGTTCAAAATTGGAAAAACATTCACATACAGTAGCTTGTTTGTTACATCCGTAAAATAATAACATATCAGAAGGCTGTTAGAGCTTTCTGCCCGACTGCTTGACAGGAATGTCAATTTGGAAAGATTCAAATTAATGCCAACATTTCCACGTTTTTGCTTTCTTCAAATGTTTTTTTTTATTTTGTTATTTTTGCATCCTTAAAAATGACCTTCCAAAACAACCATGCATTGTCAATTACAATTTGAAGTGTACCTTCCTGGATTAATTTTGACACATTCAAAATAGGTTTTTAATCAAAGTCCACTTAGGCAGGAGGTCATGGTGGGTCAAACAAACGCATGTCCCATTTGAAACATGATTTGTTTAACTGTTAGTTAAATCATGTAACAAACATACTTATTTTAAGCCAAACTATTATATTTCATTCAAACATAATCAAGTTGTTTTGTTGCCAATGCAATTGAAATGTAATCGTATGGAAATGTGATGTGTAGCAGACACGGTTAGCTGTACGGATTAGACTAGGATAAAATCACTGCTACGGTTCATGTAGAGTTTACGTTAGATATTTGACGGTTGATCTAGGTTGGATGAATAATTTGGTTACGGTCAATTAAAAAGGTAAACATTAATTAAAATAGCATGCTATAACGCTATCTCCGATCTCCTGCTTGGATATTTGACATGCTACACATTCCCTACTTCCTGCATCACTACCTATAGAGGGCACTGAAGGTTGTCATTGGACTATGGTCAGAGCAGTCATTGTTCCTACAAATAAAGAGGTCTCATTCTGCATTCAAGCAACCCTAGCAGATAGTAAGACTGCACTAAGATGGTACTAGAAAACTAAAACTGATATTTTACTATTTAAAAACAACAAATTAGGATTCCTTTTAAATAAATATTGGATTTGATATGGGAAAATGTAGAATAGCACCTGCCTTATCCTTTATGGTTAGTTTGAGTCTTCAAGGAATGTATGCAAGTCAATGCAGTGTTAAACACATTAAGTGTGTGTGTGTGTGTGTGTGTGTGTGTGTGTGTGTGTGTGTGTGTGTGTGTATGTGTGTGTGTGTGTGTGTGTGTGTGTGTGTGAAATGGTGATGGTGGGGGGTTGCAGGAGGGAGTGAGGCGAAACAGCCACATGCACAACAGACTGTCAAGTAATAACTCCCCGCTGCCTCTCTCTCTTCCTCTCTTCCTTTTGACTCCCTCCATCCTCCTCCTCCTCCTCCTCCATCAGGACTCCTCTCCCCCCTTCAGCTCCTTGCTTTTTCTTTATATCAACTTGAACTACTCTTGCATTTCATTCCTTATGATACACAAAGAGCTCCCTATCTCTCCCCCTCTCTCTCTCTCTCTCTCTCTCTCTCTCTCTCGTATTGTCTCCCCCCACCTCTTCCCCTCTGTTTCTGCTCCTCTCCTCACCACCTGTTAGTTAGTCTCCCTCTCCGCTCCGCACTGGAATCCCCTGCTTTTTTATGAGGAGTTCCACGCTCGCACTACCAGTGAGGTAAGTCAACATTTTTATGATTATTTTCTGGCGTTAATATTGTGATAAATGTGTTTTTTTTTCACTTAATTTCTCTGCATGAAATTCACATTTATGTTTCTCATATCGTCTTGAAAAACACGTTTTCCTTCCTTTTCCTTCATCCTCTATAACTATAATGAAATCTACACTTGTACTTGTCTGTTTTGTCATGTGTGTAAGAGAATTAAAGCTAATGCAGTAGAGACCAGGCTTACAGATGTTTTATTCTGCATAATTATCACACAGCAGGTAGGTGCAACATGTGGTCTGTTTTAGTCTCTTTTTACCTGCTCTTTCCCACCTTCCTACACACACCTCCACACACACACACACACACACACACACTTGTCACTGACACATTTGAAGTTTACTCATCCCTGGCAGCCTGAAAATAACTTGGCTCTAATTGACAAGTGCTCACTGTCACGGTGGTTAGCTATAAATGATGTGCTAACAGACAAGCTCTAATGAGTAGCTACGGTGTGCGCCACTGTACCATACCATCAGCCTGTCAGCCAGCAGCTTGTTATTTAAAAGGTGAACGGAGCCCACCGCAGGGGCCCATTGTATGTAGGACACAAGAGAAGAAGACGAGAACCAACAGCGAGAGAGTCTCACATACCTACAGGTGGAATAACGCTGTCTGAGAAAGTCTTCACGGGTGAGGTAATGACATAAAGATGGGAGACGAGAGATGAAATGGATCATAAAAGGTGGAGATGAAGAGGTAGAAGATGGGGGTTGAGGGTTCATGCCTGATATATGACTCTAATTTAAAGTGAAGGAGCTAAAAGAGAAAGGGGGGGAAGAGGTCGCATGTTGCACAAAGATATTCTTGTCTTCTTCATTCCTCCATCTCGAACCTATAACCTCAGGAATAAATGTACAAGGGGGGGCCAAGCTTGAAATGCATGGCTGTGTGCGGTTGCATAACCAACCGCCACAGGGGCTAATGTACGTGGCAAACAAGTCAGGCCATTATTATATTGTCGCTTATAGGAATTATGTAAAGAAGTTAAACCATGTGCTCTGAGGCTAAAAGAGTCATATGTAAATGAGCTTCGGCGCGTACGGGAAAAAAAAACCCTGAGAAGTGTGAGGTGTAATCTGAGCCTTGTTATTTTAGAGGGTGACATATTCTCAGCAACAAGATGATGATGAAAAGGGAAGATGAGAGAGAGGATTCCAGCTGGCAGCATGAGGGCGATCAATCATGAGCTCCTGCTTCCCCACCGGCTCTACTTGTGCTGCTGGAGCTGCTGGAGCTGCTGGTGTTCAGGCAGCTCACGGCCACATCTGCCAGGACTGGGAGGCGACTGACTGCGCACATTATATCAACAGACACTCGCTCACAAGCCTGCAACAGCTGCATAGTGTGTGTGTGTGTGTGTGTGTGTGGGGAGAGAGAGATGAATTAATGATCTGACGGAAGTTATCTGCCTGTATGTTTGATGGCCTGCCTTTGTGAATGTATTTGCGTCTGCTTTGAGGGATTATACATTAGTCATTAGAACAATTATTATTATCCACTGATGCAAATAAATGCATCTTTTAATCAACTCTGGCTACAATAATCATCTTCATTGCAGGGAGTTTCATTAATTTGTTTTCATCTTTTCCTTCTTCTCAATGTCGTGCAATCATCGGCTTCATTTAAGATTATTTCACTGTTGTTTCAATGTTGTGCCAGACTTTAAATCGCTTTCGGAAGCTGTGTTATTTTAAGATTAAGAATCTAATTTATGTGTGCAAAAGGCAGACATGTCTTCCATGCACAACAGGGTGCCATTACACATGGTACATTAAACATATCACACCCAGACAGGACACATTCAAGCTCATTTACATAAATGAGAATCAAAGCACCTCCTCCCTAAGTGCAGGAGAATCAACGTTATCTGTGCGCTGTTTAATTGAGCAGCGATGAACTCTGACCCTTTGTTCGGCGCCTCAGAAGTCATCAATTCCCCTGTTTTGACATTTGTGGCACCAAAATGGCTGCTGCTGATTTTCAAAAGGAAAGATGTCCATCATGGTCTGTCAAAGTCCTCTCAGTCAACAGTGGAGGAAGTTTGAAGGCTGACACGTCATGGTGTATCAAACAGTTTGTTTCATCTGCAGCCAAGAGAGAGCTGGATGTGTATCACCCACTGTTGCTCTCAGCAGAAACTGGACAAACATGAGAAATTATCCTCGCTGCCTGTAACTCTGCTGAAGGTCAACAGTCGGAGGCAAACATTTCAGAGGCACTTTCCGCCAGGGCACCATTGGTCACATCGACTTAATCATGGCCAGTGAAGGGTCTGTATTTATTCTGTTTACTGGTCTTGACCATAGATAGACTGTATACATGGATGTAGTGTCCAAGACTTTACTAACAGGTTTCTGAAGAGCTGTGATACTTAAACTGTCAACTGCAGTTTCTATCATGTCAGTGAATCCACCCTCTAGAGAGTGGTGTTTTACTGACATGTTTTATTTAGTAGAACAAAACTCTTCAACTAGTGTTTACCACTTTCAGTCGTCCAACGAAAAACGTGTTCAGAAAAATGCTGACTTTGAAACAAAGGAATTGGAAGTTGGAAAATGCTAACTAATATCCAGGTTTAAGGACTGTCTGAACAAAATCAACCTCCACATCTTCTAAAGCTGACTAAATACCATGTTGATAACATTTAATGTGAATAAGAAGCAAAGTGTTAACACTAGGGTTGTCACAATTCCCCAAGACCAGACTTTGTCTTTAGATTCATCTAAAAAAGGAAATGAAAAGTCTTGTTTTGTCAAATTCAACAGATTGGTTTTATTCCCTCTCGTTTACATTTAAAACGACAGATATGATCAAACTTTTCTAATAAAACATATATATTTGGGAAATGATAAACACTAAGGCCATATGGTCACAATTAAGATGGTAGAAGGGTATTTCACAATAACAGCTTGAGTTTGAACAGCTACTTTCTCATTGCAATGTTATTAATTCACCGCCAACTCTGGAGCACAGACAATCAATGCCTTCTGCATTTCCCAATCAACTCTGTCCTCCATATCTTTTTGGTCTCTATTAGTTGTGCTAGCTTCTTGCGAACATCCAATATTGGAGGAACGTGATTCTTGTACGTGATCTGGGTCTTTACCCGTATCTCTTTTCGCATGTGTTTTGTTAACTGAACATACACTGTAGTTTTAATATGAGACAGAGGGATTCCTCCTAGTGTAAAGCCTGACCCCCCTTGTCAATGATCACTAGTGTCATGTGCAAACCACAACAACCCTATAGCACGTTATAAGACAGACAGTTTGGTTCTGGGAGTACAGTAATCTGTCAGAGTCGTATCGTGCGTAGGTGTCGTTGCAGACAACACAGAGGAAGTGCAAATATTCACATCTCAGTTTCAATCGATTGACGCGGAGAGAGCAGAAGGTAGTCCAGAGGGGGGGGGGGGGGGGGGGGGGGGGGGGGGGACTGTATTGAGGACAGAACGCCCCCTCAAGGCCTGCTGGCTTTAGAAAACAAAAGCTGTGTGAGATTTGCAATCCACCCCCCTCTTTTTTATTTTGGGAAGAGAGCAGACACATCAGCCTGGTGGTCAACTCCTCTCCCTGCTCACACAAACTTTATATAATCACCGGGAGTCTTCCCACCGCCCGAGTGGAGCGTCCCAGACTCCATCCTGTAATTACCTGTCGTTCTACGGAGGATTGTTAAGCACTTAAGATAACATGTGTGCCTCGGTGGCTCACGCACACACACTTCCATTTACTCGAGGATGATAAGGATTCGGGGGAGACCCCTATTGTCTGTAATCCTTTATTCTCGCTGATAGGCTTCAGATTATTCAGACAGATTCTATTGAAATGCAAATGTGTGTATATCTCTTCTGTATTTATTCATCTTTTGAGTAATGTCTTTCTTTTAGAGAGTTCTAATTATGTTGAAAGATGTTTCAGTGCAAGAGCAATTTCATATAAATGCTCTCTATTATAAGTTGTTCTTCTTGACTATATGGCATATGGAAAGTTCCTATTAGTTGAGAGGATATTGAAATGAAAAGTGCTATTTATCACCAACTTCCTGACTAAGCTCAACTTGATGAAATTGAGAAAAGCAGCTCATGTCTGTGGATCAATATCTTCCCTCCGCATTTCCAGATTTTAATCGTCGTTGCTGGGATTTAACTCTTCCTCCATCTTTCTCTGTCTCTTTCCCTGCAGCCCTATGACTGTGCGAAAAGGAAAAACGTTAGCCGTCTCCATCCAGGAGCACATGGCCATCGATGTTTGCCCGGGCCCTATACGCCCTATCCGTCAAATCTCTGCCTACTTCCCCCGCTTATCGCCCACTTCCTCCTTCTCCGAGCCGCTCTCGCCCAATCAGGTAGCAGCTCCCACATCGCTCAGCCCGAGCAGCGCAGAAAAGGGTGGAGGAGCAGTGGGACGAGGGAGCAGCAGCCTGTTGTTACCAGGTGCGGCGGGCGGTGGGGGCTCGCTGTCAGCCATGAGTAGCATGGACACCTCCATCGAGATCGACAGCTGTGACAGCGATGATAACAGTGAGTCACCTGAAAGTCACAACCTGGTTTCACTAAAGCTGCTGGAGTCCAATAATAGCAGGTCACTCAGCGCAGATGTGGATTTAGAACAAAAGGCCTTGAAGAAATAACATTTGAGCCTTAGCTAAAGTGGTGTTGCTACACCTGTGAAGTTTGTGTTCTCACACAGTACATTTACTGTTTGCAGTCATGACGATAGCATCATCATTCACATGAGCAATGACTCTTTGATTTCACACAAAAGGAAACTAAATCAGCCTTGTCATTTATAGAAAACAACATTAGACTTTGTCAACTATCCCAAGCAGATGTTTCCAGCTGAAGCTAGAATGAGCTAATGCTTACACTTTTTGAATTTAGTTAAAAACACAAGCTAATTTGAAATGTTTCAATTGTATTTGGTTCAAAAGGAGACCTCTCTAAAGTTATCTTAAAATAATACAGTACAACATTTTGGGACCTGTACTTGTTTTCTTGTTGAGAGTTAGATGAGAAGATCAATACGGCTCTGGTGTTGCACGTTGAATATGAAGCTACAGCCATTAGCCACAGGTTAGCTTACTAGGCTTTTATAAATTGAAGAGGATAAGGTTATTTTGAAAACATTCAGATCATTATTTTCTAATGAAAAGATAAGTACTGAAGCAATAACCAGAGTAACTAAAACATCTTCATCCACTGTCTTACAGCCGCCTTGGGGACGTTGGAGTTTGAGCTTCTGTACGAGAGAGCCACCAGCTCCTTACACTGCAAAGTCATAAAAGCCAAGGTAAATACTCTGAAACTCAACCAGAGCCATCGCAGGTACTTTATCTTGTGACAATAACATGTAAAAGTGACATTTGTGTCAGTTCAGTATTTCCAACAGGATTTTATGACAGTATAGTGGTTGCATAGTACCTTATACTGTATATATTGTGCATATATCATGCAGTTTTTATGTGTAAAATTGGGTAGTAAACATTACACTCACTCTTCTCTTTTCACCTCATCTAGCACGTTTACACAGATTGCCATCTTATTGCCAGCTGTCGCTTTAAAGCGGTTTTATGTCATTTAAGACCGTTTTTGTCAAATTGACCAGGGTTTGACAACATTAGTGGCCTTAAAGCTGGATAAATGACTGTCTCAACTCAGATTTTGGTTTCAGTCTTGCTCCTGACCAGGCTTAAGATGTAAACCCGGTCTTAACGAGAAGATGGATCAAGTCTAGACGGTTGAAGGGTCGGTCTTAGAACGACGAGTTATGAGTAACTTTGGTAAACAAGCTTCATATCAGATGGTGCAACAGGACCCTGAAGTTACAAAGACTCAAGATACATACATCTTCTTATCAGTATGTAGCAGAGGATTCAGTTTTCACGGCTCCCTGGTCAACTGAATCTCCCTCACCTTCCTCACTGTGCACTGTGCTTCAGATTCAATAAGTAAAGTCATTCTTCACCCCTCAGAAATCATTTAACAACGTACTACCGGTGTTCACGGCCAATTATTTTACATCCCTCTGTTAAATCTTCTCTCCATGTCTCCATCAGGGTCTGAAGCCGATGGATTTCAATGGTTTGTCTGATCCTTATGTGAAGCTGCACCTGCTGCCGGGAGCCTGCAAGGTCTGATTTCTATTTGCCTCATCCTTGTGCTTTTGTGAAAAGATATGCAGGATTTTGGAGTGCACTTAGTCTAGCTACAATTTCAAGCTGCATTATGAAAGTGCAGATCTATAAACACGCTCTGAAGAAAATGACATTGAAGCCAATTAAAATGTGTTTTTCCTGTTGAGTTTCTGTGCTACTCGCAGCTCTCAGATGACTGTTTTCCTCTCCTCTATGCTGCGATGCACACTGCACAGGCCAACAAATTGAAAACCAAGACGGTGCGCAACACGCTGAACCCGGTGTGGAACGAGACCCTCACCTACTGTGGAATCACAGAGGAAGATATGTACCGCAAAACTCTCCGGTAAATGTTTGCTTCATGGCTATTTTCGGCCTCTCTGCTTTGTCTTGCCCGTCTGTAAGCTGCCTCTTGCTTACAAAGGATTTCTTATCGTCCATCTCCATCACGGAGTCTTTTACTTTTGATTTGTAGGCTTTTATCCTTTCTCTCTGCTATCTCTGCTGATCCTTTGATCCCCGTCTGTCACCTCACCTTCCTTCCTTTAGTGCCCACATCTCTCCTGTCCACTAGGATCAGGAAAGATCTCCCCTCACTTCTTCTGAAGCATCCTTCTCTCTTTGTCTTTCCTTTACGTCTGTCTCCCTTCCTTTCTCTCTTCCCAAGTTGCAGTGACAGATTGAGGTCAGAGAAAGCACCACGGGGTGTTTTAATTTCATTGACCCCCTCCAGAGGTGACGAAAGCTGCGAATTGTCTCTGCCTGTGACTAAAACTTTGCCAAAGCGTTATGTGGGAGTGGGATTTAAATAGGACCGACGGTTAATCTCTCGGGGGAAATTAGCGAAGCCGGCCTTGCTACCATCCTACGACACTGTGTTAATTCAGCAGAGGCGTTGAAAGATCTGCAGACAGGAAGTTTAACCTACTGAATCATGAACACATGTTGACATCGCAGATTGCAATGCACTGAAACTGTCTACAAAGTGACAAGTTGTAGTAATAAAACTGGATAATGTAATAGATATAATTAAACGGGGCACATTTCTAAGGATTAAACCAACTCTTAACACATCTACTGTAGATATCCTTGCAATTGTACCTCTATTTTGTTGCGCTTTACTAAGCACAGTGTACAAGTGAAAATCTATGGCTTTCTTCCAGTGTGTCTCTACGGAGTTAACCAGCAGGGCTTCCTTCCACACTTCCACTAGAGAAAGAAATCCATCACAGCAAAAGGGAGGTTTTTCAATTTCTCCAGGACTCAATGCAACCACAGGATATGGCTCTGTTTGAAAAAGGGCAAAACTATTTTCTACTTCTTTTTCTAAAGTGGAAAAAATGCAGCTCCGTTATGGAGTCTGCTTCCAACCAGAAAGTGCTGCAAGATTGTAAAGCCCCCTGTGCACATGTGTTACTTCCTGATATGTGGCTATATAAATAACATTTGATTAAGAATACAGTTTCACAAAAGATGCAATTGTGTATTTATATGATGTCATTAAGTGATGAATTACAATGTTTTTAATTTAAGTAAGCCAATTAGCTTTCGCAAAATAAGAACCAGAGGCTCTGGAAGTTTATTCCTGTCAAAAAAATAAATAGAAAATAGATAAACAAGTTAAGAATGATACAAATAAACATACTTACGGTTAGGCAAAATGTATGTTTTTTACTTGTGTTCTAGGACAGAATATCTATGAGATAATAATGTATTGTATATATTGTCTTATTTACAAAACTATGAGACAAAAGGTCACAGTTATTAGAAATTAAATCAATATTTAGTTTTATTATCTCATAAATTTGCCTTGAAAAGTAATACTTTTGAGCTATTCAGGCTAAAGTTGGTCTCACCATAAGCATTTACATTTTTATCATATCTAACTTTTAATCTATTTTCCCGGCAGCAACGACGCTCCTTAAGAGCCGGATTAAAAACTGTCATTATTTATTCATGACTGAACTAATATCCATGCACTGGGACACTTCAAAAGGACTTTAAATTATACAATCTTTAGTTGAACGTTTAAGATGGACAGTTAAGGTAGGGACATCTATTATCGACCTGCTTTAACAACATGAGGTCTTTTTGATGCAGTAGGAAATGTAGCAACAGTAAACACAGCCGTGGAAGTGCATCCGTCTCACATCATAACGACTCTTGACTCTTTGACCTATCGTACTCTCACTCGCCACTCTTCGTCCTCAAGCCCTCTTCATCACAGCCGTCCTTCGCTCGTACATTGGACACACCATCTTCACCTCTCAGCTCTGATTCATCCTCCCGTTTCCTGTCTTTTCCTTTCCTCCTTTTGCCATTTGATTCTGTGGGGCTCATAAGCTTCCAGATCCTGTGCATTATACCAGCGTCCCCAGGCAACTGAACTCTTGCACCTTCTTCAATTCTGCATTACCGCATTTTATTACAGCAACCTGAAGGCAGCAGGTGATTGCTACGTGGTTTTTTTTTTTTTCTGTGGTCATGAATTTGACTTAGAAGTTGAATAAATCCAAGAGCGAAGAGGCGTCACGTTCACATGTGGACTTCTCTGACAGATTGCATGTTTAGTTTGCTTCTTCTCATTGCTTGTCTTTCATTCACATTCACATACAGCAACGGAAAAGCCATCATTCTGGATGTCAGTTATCCCGTAGCATACCGATTTTCCACTTTTGCCCATAGACATAAATGAGTCCCATCTCACACACACACACACACACACACACACACACACAGATTTAAATACATTCTTCCATTTGTATCTCTCTTCCTCACCCACATCACTTCATCCCTCACTTGCTGGCTTTTGATTTCACATACAGCCTCGCTTCTTCTCCTCCACTCCTCACCGCTTCTCCCACCCAGTTATGCATTTCTGGTGACATAATGGCAGGTGTGAACGTTTTCCAGTCGCATAAATATGGATTGACCTAACTTTGCATGATGCACTTTCACACTATCTAATCCCCACAGGGGGGGGATATGTAATTACTTGAACAATGTGCATATAGAGATGCTGGATGTATGCGTAGGATCTTCTTAAATTCAGGTCAGGTTAATGTCACCAATTTCCTTTTCTCATTATAATGTTGCCACAGCATTAAGAATAATTAAATGAGTCATAATTTGCAATGTCGTTTAACTAACTCCACCACCCGTTCCTCACACATCTGCCAAGCTCTCTGTCCTATAATTAGCTTCTCGTATTCATGTTTTCCTCTTTTCCCCATCTCTCCCTGTTTTAATTATGGCCTCCCCCCTCCCTCTCCTGTCTCTCACTCCCAGGGTGTCGGTGTGCGATGAAGACAAGCTGACACATAATGAGTTCATCGGGGAGTCGCGGGTGGCCCTGCGTCGCGTGAAGCTGGACCAGACCAAACACTTTAACATCTGTCTGGAGCATCCACCTCCTGTGAGAAGAGCAGAGGGGGGGCAGAAAGAATAAAAAAGGGAGGAAAGCGGGATATGTAGTGTGTATGAGGGAGATAAATGCCTTTCTGGCACCATCATATTCAAACTATTAGGGCTTCCTGTGTGACTCACAACCTCATCTTTTAAAGTGAAAAAGTTGACAGGAGGAGGGAATTGAGGTGAAGAGGGAAGGCAGGGAATTGTTTACGTGCCAACGGGGATGCAACACTAAAATGTCAATATTTTTTAGATGCATGGTAAACACACTCCTGGGTCTTAGAATATATGAAACGGCAAGCATCTGTGCATATGAAAATTGGAAAAACAACACTAATAGGCCCACACAGTTACATAATATGCAGCTACTTGGAATGAAATGCGCAGAAACTTCAGCATAACATCTAGATATGATTGTTGATTATATTACTCCACAACCTTAAAAAACCTTTGTTGCTTATATACTCTATAACAGCTTCCTTGGAAGAAGGAGTTGTGTGGCTGGGATGTGCCCCTTTCCCACCGGACAAAAACACCCACTAACATCTGGCTTTAGTGGAGAAGGATGCAATCAGCATTCACTCCCAGGACAATTGACTCAGCAGTAGTGGCTGCCCGAGCGCCGAGGGGTTAATCGAAAGGGATATGGACAATTCATATATTGTATTGACCTGCAACATCTCCTCAAAGCCAACAGACTCCATGTAAAGAAACATCAATATCATTGATTAACTTGACGGAAACAAACAAAAACTGAACAACATCTTGGTTAAGTCTTAAACAATCACATACTGTGGTGAGATAGTTTGAAAGAGCGATAAATAACGGATATAAAAGACTCGTCACCGCCAAAATTGAAACTGAGCATCCAACCTGATTCAACAAACAAAAAAAGAAAGGCACATTTGACTGATAGCACCTGGAAATTGCATGTTTTTAGCTGGTTTTCTAACATTAAAAACCTGTACATACAAAATAGTGAGCAAAATAGTCAGATTCATACATTTCTTTGTGTACCGTTTGTTCATGACGGCACAACAATGTCAGACATCAAAGAGACTTCCTGTTCACTAAGACAATCTTTGTATGATGAGTAGCATAAACGTATCACTTGATCTGAGCTAAAGGAGACAAACCAAGAGAAACAGACGGAAACTATCCCAACAACAGTGGAGCTTACATAGACGTTTAGCCATACAGTATATTGTGCAATGTCAGCCGACATCAATGCGAATACAAATACAATATCTAAAAACAAATCTCAGGTAAGCAGAGGACAGAGTTTCCTGTCTGCTCTCATAGCTCACAGACAGCTTTTTGTGCAAGCTAAATGTCAGCCGGATTATTTGTTGGAAAAGGGTACATAGAGAGAGTGGGGGGATAAAGGCTAGAGGAGATGGGGGGTTGCATGGTGGAGCGTCACTGGTTAGAGAGAGCAAGCGAGAGAGGTGAGAAACAAATGGATTGGAAAATAAAAGTGGCTGAGAGCAGGGGGCATGTGTTTGTTAAAGGGACGGGAGGCTGCTGTGTTTTCGTTCTCGGAGTTAGAAAGGGCTGCTGGTAATAGATTGGTCCTCTGAGGCCGGTGGCCACTCTGCGATCAAACGCTGAAGCCCCCCCGTCATCCTGCGAACCAGACACTGTGTCGGGCCTGTCATTTTCAGAGTGGCTTCACCTTCGACCCCATTCGTCTATTCCTGTTTAACCTTAGTTGCTCTAACCTGCTTGTACAGCTTTTCTGTCATTCATACCCTCCTAATTATTCATCTCTTCTACTCTTTGTCTCCAGCTGCCTTCACCGACGGCGATGAGCACGGCCCTTAGAGGAATCTCCTGCTACCTGAGAGAGGTGACCACACGACTCCTGTTATTTTGCATGAAAACATCACGAGCTTCTGGTGTTATCAGCTCATTAAATGGGCGATGCCACTTGTCATCAGGACGACAGAGTTGAGTTTGTAAGGCCTTCCTCTACTTCCTAATTCGCTCAGTTGGTTGTTATCATCTATTCGTTAGGTGATCTATGCAGGGAGGTTAAAAATGGCAGCCATCTGTATTGGCCATAATATTTATGATGGAAGAAGGGAAGTCATAGCATAAATGGCTAAAAGTCTGCTTCGAGCGTGCCGGGGTGGATGGACAGATAAACCGAACAAAGAAGCTCGTTTGTTGACTCATTTTGATTGTGTAACTTATAGGGCCCCATCATGTTCATTCTCAGGTTCATATTTGTATTTAGTGTCTCTACTGTGACCTGTTTAAATGCTTTAATGTTCAAAAAGCTCTTTATTTTTCTCCTACTGCCTGTGCTGCAGCACCTCTTTTCACCCGCTGTCTGAAACCAGAGCCCGGTCTGCTCTGATTGGTTAGCTGGCCATCTCTGTTGTGATTGGTCAACCGCTTAGAGATGTCCTGCTTCCTTAGTCTGTCATGTACAATGTGTCCTGAACCTAACCAAGCTGTTTTGTTTTAATTAAACAACATTAACTACATTTTAAACTGCAACCGTTTTACTGCATGACGGTGCAGTTCGCTTCCTCTGGAGTATTATAATGGTAATCATAACAACTAATAACGGCCATTTAATGGGCTGTCGCAGCAAAAACCCTGAGTATACTTTGGGTGTCTTTTTTATTGCCTTTGAAATGAATTATATTCTTCTGCTGATGTAAGCCAAGAACAACTTGCATATGATTTACAGTAAAGGAGGAAAACTTCCCACACACACAGGTCTGAGTCTATAACTAGCAAGCCAATATCTTAAGAAATAACCTAATGTATTATTTGTGTAGACGCACAGCTGATTTGAGAACCTCTCATCACATATGGAGTAAAGTGGGCGAATCCAAAGGGCCAGTGTAGTCCTTTCACTTCATTACGATAACTGGAGTTAAGCAGCTGCGTGTGTGTTACTCATCACATTCAAGGTTGTTTCATGTGATCGTCTTGCCAGTTCCCTCCCTTGCAGACCCACCCACGTATTTATCTCTTTCCCATTTGTCTGTCGCTGTGTGTGGCCGGCTTCACATTGATGCCTGTTTTTTTTAGACCTCCCTAATGAGTTGCTCTCTATCGATCTGTGAAGGTCTGAGCTGTTCTATCACCAGATAGCTGCTGCAAATTATCCTCACTAATTGCGAGTTTAAAAGTAGTCTACTCTGTCACGGCAGATGGCGAACTGGCTGTTGGCAGTAATGATGAGTCCCAAAGTAAAATAGGGACAAGGAGAAGGGGAAAAAATAGGAAAGAGATTAAGTAAAAAGAGAAAGCTGTTGAGACAATTAGAGGGAGGAGCATGAAGGAGCGTTTGGCATATTGATCGTCCTGCCTGTGTCCACCTCTCGCCTCAAGATAAGACTTAATGAGAGATGGAAATGGATCAAAAAAGATAAAATAGATATTAAGGGATGGAACCCATTTTATATTATAGGCAATAAAACGGAGCCTTTCTTCATTTTCTGTGGAGAATCAGAAAGAATAACCCGAAAAAGATGCACCTGCAGAGATGAAAACGGCTAACCCTATAAATACCATACATGTGTTGGTGCTGTCGGCCATGAGTGTGCGTCACGGTGCTGTGAGAACATCGTCTTCTCTTTTCCACCCTTTGATGATGCTTCCTCTCTTCCTTTCTTTCATCTGTCACTTTGAATCTACTCTGTTGTTCCGCTTGTTGTCAAATTCTTTGGTAACAGTTTGATGTTGTCCGTGGAAAATACTCCAGGAGCAACATATTGGGTCCCAGACAGGTCGAATAGATATTAGCTGCTCTCAGTGATCATGAGGGTCTGAGCAGGGACAGATTAACTCAAATGTCAGATGAAACCTACCTGATCTTTAGTTGTTTGCTTCAGGGATGTAAGTTATTGGATTTTTGTCAACGTGCTGTAATTTTCCAGCTCTTTGTGACAATTTCGAAACCGATACTGTTGCAGACACCTACTGTTTACCACTCGATTGCAGAGGACATCTAGTCTCCTCTGTAGCGGAATTCACATATTATTCTTCCTACTGCCAAAAGAAAAATGTCTTTATGCAAAATATAGATATCAGCCTGTCATATCAGAGGACACGATTATTTTTGGATGCTGAGATTTCATTATAAAGCCTTTATCTGCCAATACTGATGACGTGACGATGTTATCATGCATTAGTTCGCTAGAAGGAAATTAAATGGTCTACATTACAGCAAAGGACACTTGTACATTTTGAAGCAAGACTGTTTAACTCTAGAGAAGAACATATTGTACTTCCCACATTCTAAATTAATTAATCCATAAACAATACAACTCACCCTTCTCAGTTCAATGCACTCAGGGGTGTGCTGCTACAGCCTTACATGTTAATTTATGGACTAAATAAAATAAACATAAACTTCAGTCGATTTGTTTTGGGTCTCATGTTTTGCAGACCTTTCCTAAAGACATTGTGGGTGTTTTACGATCTTCTGGACATTTACTATTACACTGTGTTGAAGCTTTTATCCGGTCACCTGTAGCAACAGCGGTCACTGTTCAGCAAAAGTTACATACGCTTGCTTTTATTTCTGTTGCACTGACGCAGGATGAACTGTACTGTCCTGCCAGGGTTTGTTTACTGACTGCAGCTTCAAACCTGCATAAATTCATTTTTTTTGGCCTCAGTAAACACAAAACTGACATATTATCACCTTATACAGTTGATATTTGAAGCGTGTTTGCAACAGGCTATGATTTATTTACACATCTAACAGACACCGAGCCACATTAGCATTCATTTGAAGTTGTGTTTGAGTCCACAAGTGTAATATTCACTCCACTTTAAGCTATGTTGATCTTTTGACCTAAACCTGAGGGAAATATCTCGCTCTTCAAAGCAATCTATTTCAAAGGCTTTTTTTCAAATACATATCTGTTCAGTAACTTTCATCTAATACTGAATTTAAATTCAAATTGAGAGGTTTTACTGTCATATGCACAATAGCTACAGCTTAGTTGTTTGCAATGGAAATCCTGAGTCCCAGGCTACCTTGAACAATGCAACAAACAATATACTTAAGAATAAATGACAAAAGTAAAAAAGTGCACAAAAGAAAAACCCAGAGGTAACACAACAATCATTTGGCTTACTGAAGAATGCCAATACATTGCATTATTACAAACTGGATGGCCAGTGATCATCAGCGGAAAGAGAGATCTTGGAGATTGTTATTTCAACTGTTGAATGCTTCAATATTTCACAATAGAATAGAGTTTTTAGATAGCAAGAGTTTTTCCACTGAAACACCCGCCAAAGCTGATGAGAGAAGTAAGAGTAAAACAGTAAAGTAGGCAGTAAAACAAATACAAATTACCTGGAAGTCAGTAAACCACATCATTCACTGATTCAAGTGACCCCTTTTACATTATAAAAAGTCATTTAATCTAGAAAGAAATAATGAGGACCGAAGCTAGAACAACTTGAATATTGTTGCACGTTTCATCAGCAGGTCAAGGCTTGCTTTTAGCTCTGAACCTTTAGCCACTAATAGCAGCAACAAAAGCAGCTCGCAAACCTTTTTTTCAATACACTCTTGTATCCCCTCTTTATTTCTACAGTGGGAGACTGAGCAGACGAGAAGTCTAGAGGAGAGAGGCCGTTTGCTGCTCTGCCTGCAGTACTTCCCCCCCTCCAGTGATGGCGATGTGAAGGGCGAGGCCAAGGAGAGGGCTCGTGGCGGGTTGTGTGTCGGCGTCAAGCGCTGCGCCCACCTGGCAGCCATGGACGTCAACGGCTTCTCAGACCCCTACGTTAAAACGTAAGGACGATATCGAACCACTAACTGCATGCCAGGGTGTATTGGATTAGACAAGATGGAGACATGTTGCTTCCTGTGCGATTAATAATGAATGTACATGATGGATTGACATTTCATGACCCTCATTCCAGAACAATTTCCAAATGACCTATCCAGCACCAATCTCCCTCTCCATCTTGTTACCTGTGTTTGGCTTTTACTGGCCGTTGGCTCATATTGACCCCATGAATCACGTTTTGTCGCTCTCATGAGTGATAGATGGCTGGAGTTAACCCCTTACAAGGTAACAGTGACAAACGAGGGCAGCTCTCACACAAGCGCAAACCGTTGTGAAATATTTATGAGTCACTCACCGAGATAATGGTAACAGTTTGTGTTTACTGACAGCCATCACAATTGATTGAAAGGCAGTGACATGATCTAGAGTTATGGGCGTTCTGTATCACTGAGGAGGGAGCTTGTGTTTGTGTCATAAAGGCCCTTCTGAGTTTCATAACTCACTGATGAAAGAAAAGCAATACTGTGTGTGTGTCACTGTGTGTGTCACTGTGTGTGTGGCTGTGTTTGGAGAGGGCAGGAGGGTCCCTGGTCTGAATGACGCTTGCTGACAGCAAGTGGACAAATGAGGTTTAAAAATCGCCCTCTTCTTCACTGGGTGATCTCCTGAGAGTTCTGGTTTTAAAGTTGATTCTTGGATGAGTAAAACCCGTAACAACCTCCCATCACACACACGAAGCTCAGCATGCCACCACTCTTCAGTAAACAACAATCTCCTTTCCCGTCAGGAATTAAACTCTCCCTCCTTCTTTACATCCACCGAACCTACGCATACAGCCCTCACGCATCCACAGTAATCCATCGTGCACCTTGTTTCATTTTGGATGCGTGATCGCATCTTTGCCCTTTGGCAGGAGATTTTTCCCAGATGCTTTGTTGTGTCTGAGAGCGTGTGGGAACATACGCTCTCAGAGCTGTGGGTGGTGGGTGGAAAGCAAATGTGAATAGAGATTTCGCCATGCTCCTTCCAGCTGGCTTAAAAATATCCTGAGAATTTTAGTGACACCTCTTGAAGGGATGCTGAGCTTTTTCACTCAGTGCTGTGTTGGTTATCATTTCTCACATATGGTTAGTTTCACAAATAACGTATTAAACCTTAGAGGGAATAGCATGACATTGTGGGAAATAAACTGAATTCACGTTCCTGCTGAGAACCAGATGGATGCCACTGTCAAGTCTGTCAGTAAATATGGAGCTACAGCCAGCAGCTGGTTTACTTTGCCAAAAGCACTGAAACAGAGGACACAGCCAGCCTGGCTCTACAAAAGTACAAGAAAAGTCAATACGAATATTTCCTTAAATGTCAAACTGTACTTTTATCCAGAGTACTTGAATATGTCACCCAATTACAAGCAGGCCTACTGTTTCATTAAAGACACTTCACTCTAGTTAAAGTACAGTCACTTTTTAAAGCTGCAACCCTAAAACAGCCAACAGAAGATCATCTCTGATGTATTGATTAGCATATCGATTAATGTTAAGAAAATGTTTCATTCACACACCTCAACAAAGTGTGTTTCCCTGCAGGAAGAGTGTGTTGTTGTTCTCACCTGTCTGAACGTCATTCAGGGAGTTTTGAGCCTCACGTTGTCCTGCAGCATCTGCTCCAGGTTTATCTTCTGTTGTCGTTCATTTTCAAAGCATTATTTATGCTGTCCACTCCCAGTAGTAGCGGCATTGTCACAAACAGAAGAAAGCCCTCACACACCTCACTGAAGGTAAAAGTTATTCAGAGAAGGCCGAATCCATCCACCATGAAACATGTTAGCATTTAGCATGTTAGCATTAAGCATGTTAGCCGGTCGGACCTAGCATGCACCTGTTCAGGTGTGCTTGATTTGTGCCACTCACGTGCCCACCGGGTGGTGCATTAAAGTAGTGAGATCGTTTTAATACCATATACGGTATAAAATGTTTATCCCTACGGTTAAATATACAGTCTTCTTCGTTTTTAACATTAAAATGACAAAAAATGACACAGGCCTTCACAAAAAAGACTGTTACAGTTATTATTTGTCCTCTTGCCTTACTGTTTGGTTTTCTGTTGTAGGCCTATTTGCTTCCCAGTTATGTTGCCTTTGCTTTGCCTTGAATTTAGAAAGGTACTTAATAAGCAATTGTATTATTATAAAAAGGGCCTATGATTACTTTCAATGTTGCCTTCAGGATAATGCTTCTTTCTGAATCATCCATTAATGAAGAAGTCACTAAGAATATAGTAAGAGTGACATGTCAGGACAAAAACCCATAATCTATGCATCATTGACAATTATTCCTGAGTGAACATAATGATCTTCTGTATGAACCTGCTCTGACCTTTACATAGTTATCAGTGGTATTTGCAGTCCCCATTAGTGCTGTATTATTCCCTCCAGCATTACAATGACCTGCCTGCGAATTATAATGTCCAGACTCTTATATGATGGTGTCTCATGTCTCTGCCTCAGGTACCTCAAGCCAGACGTTCAGAAGAAATCCAAGCACAAAACAGCGGTCATAAAAAAGACTCTCAACCCGGAGTTTAATGAGGTAAACATCACTTTGTGAATGTAAATCGATGTGGGAGTGTGACTGAAGCACATTTTGAATGGTTAATGTAAATAAAACAGCTTAATTAAATCTAAACAGTCCTCAGAGACGCTTCACTGCATGCAAAGTGTCTGCAACTTTATTTAAGACAGCCAATTACAGGTTTGATATTAATAGCTGTTGCCTCATTAGGGAGTATTTTAGAGGTTTGCATGCTCATCAGGTGTGATCTTCTGACCTTTGCTCATGTCCACTGACCCATTTTCTTCTTTGTTTTCACCCAGGAGTTCTTCTATGAAATCACCTTCTCAGAGTTAGCTACCAAGACGCTGGAGGTCACAGTGTGGGACTACGATCTGGGGAAGTCCAACGATTTCATAGGTAACTGCACATACAGCCAACAATTCACATTCATTACCAATTTAAATGTATGAATGTTGCATATTTAATCATATTTTTAGTAGACTTTTGCTTTTGCCATAGAACGAAAAGGACGTTTCCACCTCTATAGGTTTTACATTTTTTAAATAACTGCACAAACAATAAGGGAAAAAAGACAATAACAAAAAAATGCGATTAAGGCATACTAAACAGAATTATTTTTGGATAATCATTAGCTGCATGGCTTATGATTATCGGTCCACTAATGTTGTATCCATGGCAGATGTTACCAAAGATATTTTAAGCTGCGCTATTATCTTCCACTGAGTGCAGCACTGTGTGTAATTTGCAGGGTTAGGGTGCCAAAAGGGTGTCAGTGACATTTGGCTGCAAATTAGCATTAAACTATAATCTATAAATGGAAGAAATTACATTATATGTATCTCTATTTGTCCTAAAGAAGTTACAGAGCTTTTTATCCATCAATCATGTCACATTTTCCACACTGTTCAGCGAAAAGGAAAACAAGTGAAAAAATATTTCATTTGATGCACATTTGGAATTGCAATCAAGTATTAATACAGAATTGCTGCACCTATCATGAAGATGTTATACGTTTGAATACTGAAAATGTAAGCCAATTGGTAAATAAGTATATTTTTGCTTTTGGTATAGGGGAAAAAAAACCTTTCCAGCTTCTTGGGTCTCAATTTTTTTTTATATTAAAACGCAGTTACTGCAAAAGCAATGAGGCTAAAACAGACAACAACATATGCCATTAGTGCTATTTAGCAGTACAGTAGAAAACAAGTCAACCCTATAACACAATGAAGATTTTTGATAGATCAAAAAGATCTTCCTACAATACCAATATAAGGAAAAATATTACAAAATTGCGTTCTGATAATACATTTGTATTGGTTCATTTTAAAACCCTTGTTACCAAAACATACATTCAGCTCTTGAACTTAAATCCCCAAACATTAACTTTATTTTGAGTCACTCTCACTTGTTTTTGTCTCTGCTCTGGTTAGGCGGCATGTCTTTAGGGTGTCACTCGCAGGGCGATCCTCTGCAGCACTGGATAGACTGTCTGAAGAACAAGGGCACGAAGGTGGAGCGCTGGCACACGCTGACCAACGAGCTGCCTGGATCCACGCTGCAGGAATGAACTGATCCTCTTTCACTGACACCGGAGAGACTGCCTAAAGAGTGATGTTTCACCGCATGCTCTGAGGATGTTCTGCATGCCTATGAAGGATTCACGTCCTGCTTACTGTGTGTCAAACATGAGATCATCATTCATGACAACGAGGGGGGTCACACTCGGAGATCAATACTGTAATGGAAGATCTAAATAGACCCAATGCAAATCTGAGAAGCCACTGAAAAGCTAACCTCATGAGCATTTCCCTAATCATATTCATAGAGCTCCATGTCCCTTTTGTGGATTTAATATCAATCGTAATGCTTCTCAGAGCTGCTCAAAAAGTGGTCAGATATCAATTAACTAAAAAAATTGAAATCGTGCAAGAAAATATAATGAAGGAGAAGGCTGAATTATTCTGCATTATTCTTGCTCTTATTACATTCGGCTTGTTATTTTCATTCCCTGCTGACATTAAACCTCCACCGTTATGACTCACAGCGCACATACCTCTCCCTCGCAATAATGGTTTGCCAAATGCTTCCGAAAGACCTCCAAGGTGGTCTTGATACTGTCTGACATTTTGTATCAATCGATTATGATTGCCATTGGATTGCCTGCAGAAAACACGAGAGGCTGTTGGTTTCTTCCATGTTTGATGGTTTTGTGTCAGTGATTTGCATGTTTGGTGTTGATGGAGCAAACTAAAAGTCAAATATGTGCCAGGCTCTGCTGCAGGACGTTCATCATTGTGTTGCTCCCAATTCTCCTGAGGTGTGTTGCTCTGATTAACTAAAGAGTTGTTTTTAATTAAATTCAAGGGTAACCGATTGTTTTCTATGCTGTTCAGTTGTTTAATGTGTCAGCTCTAATATCAGAGTTTCTTGTTGGTGACACGTTGATGTTGACCTAGATTTGCTTCACAGTCTGTAATTTGAGGAGAAGAGTGTTGTAATTAACAGGAACATTGCAGAGCTGATTGGTTTTACGGAGAGCTGTGCATGGTCATACTCTGACACACCGTCGATACAAATGTCAGCTTCTGTTTGATATCTAAATTACAAATATGAATGGTGTTTAGAGCACAGTGTCGTCTGATGATATCTCTCCATGACTGATGCTTTTCTAGAGAGCAGGACTTTATCTGGGTCTCATGTGGTTACAGAGGCATGCTGATTTTACCAGTGGTGTTCATATGTAAATATAAACTGTGATTCACTTGCTTTGGATGTTTGTCTTTTGGAACTTGAAGTGCGCATGATTGTTTCTTCTTTTTTTCATAAAAATGTTCATATTGACTTATGTGCATTCCTGAATTTCTATTATATTTGTTCCAAAGTGGCCTCTTTGAATCTCTAATGTTTACGTGCAGCTCAGTGGAGCTTCAATAAAGCCGATACTGCCATCTAGCCTTCAGGATCTGCTGTTACAGCCTCTTCAATAACATCAAGTTATGTGAGAATAAGTGATCAGATCAGAGGCACATCACAGTTTAAAGACAAAGAAACACAACATTTATGATACTGTGACTTCTTATGATTGGTCAGAAGAAATATATAAAACTTTGATTTAAGTATATGCAAACTATATAGAGGCCAGTAATAGTCATATTATTTAGAATCGCTACTAAAAACGTGATTAAAAGGGTATAGCTACTGAAATTACAGCATTGCAATGTTTGAAAATCCTCTATCTGAATACCTGTGGTTGAAAATATAATATAGCATTTGCAAATACTGGATAAGTAAATCAGACACAAACCTCAAGTATCCAAAACAGACCTAAAAATTAAATTAAATTAAAACCAAAGCTATATTCTATTTACTGGGATGTAATTAGTTAAAAATCATGTTAAGACACACCAAGATTGGATTGTTTAATTCAGACACCATCTGTGTGTCTATCTACCTATATATCTACCTATCTATATATCTATCTATCTAGAGGTCAACATCAATGCATTAGGATGTTTTTGATAAACAAGTCTCAATGCATCATGGTGTGAGTGTCTGAGTTAGACCCAGAGTAATGGACTTTGGGACATACACAAAGCTCTCTGCCGCTCTGCAGTTTCTGATTATTGTGCATTTTCTCGTTTATCCTGGAAAACTTTTGAAATTTGAGTAGGCTATTTCTGTATCATCTTAGTCACAGTTTGTTCCTCACTGTGCGCTCAGCCTGACAAACACCAGAGACTCCTGTCCTCTGCAGATTCTCTCACACACTCTCCTAATGTTACTGATGTACAAATATAACCAATTACACACTTTTAAAGGAGTGCTTGCTGAAACTGGGCCACACACACAAAGAAGTCATTTGAAAGGAGTTAGACACAGATACTGAGCATTGCAATACTCCAAGTCCAGATGTAATAAAAACATGAATGAGTCTCTGCAGATAAAAAAGATAGTATCTTAAATGTGTTAGTAAGCTGCAGTAGGGAGGACTGGACTTCTGTTTTAAAAAAAATAAAATATGAGAGGACCTTTGAGGACAGTAAACGTCACATATTAATCTAAAACAACACCAGAGATGCCGCCCTAGTGATAGGGATGTTTAATTGTATTTCAAATACACAGGCAAAGAAAATATTTCACTTATAACATCCCAAAAACTAATTTTAGTAATGGAGACAAGCTCTAATAATGCAGTTAAATAAGAGTTATTTTTGCACAGGGATTACATTTAAAATCCAGTGGTTTGGCAGATTTTTAACAACAATAATTTATTTAAAACCAAGCTGTGTCCTCTCTGCGGGGACAAGCACAGCCTTACTGCTGATGAAAAACACATAACAGATCATCATAAGAGCAAAACAGTTATGTGATTTATTTTTTTAATCCAAACCAGTACAGAGCACCAAACATCCGGCTGTCTGGTGCTCTGTACTGGTTTGGCGTCAAAAAATAAATCACATAACTGTTTTGGTTTGTGAGAAAGGCATGTTTATAATTATTCAGCCCATGTTATTGAATAATTATTATAACTTTAAAATATTTCCTCCAGTTGAAGTAAGCTCATCATGATCGTCTCATTTCAATAAAACTGACATCATGATGAACAAGTCATTATCTGGAAAGGCTGCTGCTGAAATAAAGATTAAGTAAGAATAACGACGCCACCAGATGAAGACAAACAGAGAGCCTTCATAGAAATATTATAGTGATATTTCACCACAGAGCTCTGAATCCACTCTGTGATGATAAGTGGTTTTCATTAAAGAGCCAATAATGAGCACATCAACGCCACCTAGCCAGGATCGTGATGAAGAGTGAGGATGTGGCACAGTAATAACGACTGGAATATGAGCCACAACACATTTTAATTAAGCTTTATGTGTATTATAAAGCTACTACAACACAGTTCATGAGTGCATTTTCAAGGGTATTTACATTTCCTGACACCCCTTTGACTCTTGAGTGCATTATTTGAATAGATTTACTTAGTTACATTTCACCACTTTCAAAATGTACGTCAGTTTATTACGTTAGCTTCACAGTTTTGACAGATAAAAGTTATTTTCACTAAAGGATTAATAGAAACTGATATGAATAATTCATTGTGTTGACACTAACTGTGTCAACTGGATAAAGTAGAATAAGTCCCTGTCTAAGTGAGATAATTATTCTTTGGTGTGAAGCTGTGTGATATTTTAACAAGAAATCTAATATTTGTTTTACTTTTCCAAGTAGAAAATCAACAGCAATCCTCCGGAGCATTAATTCACACTCATTTTTGTTCAGCCTCAGTTCTCTTTGTAAATTAGTCTGGCAGTAACAGAGGAGCATCGCCACAGGTCAGTTTATCTCATTATTGCCTCTGCTGACGGACAGCGAGATCACGCTGCCAAGCTGACTCACAGCCTCAGTGTTTATGTGACCCAGCGGAATAATCCCTGACCCACTTACTGCATCTGGATCTGACTCTGTCTGCCGGGCTGATCCTGAACTGTATTTACCTACTGCTAAATTAGCTGAGCGCAGAGAAAAATACCTTTTGCTGTCAAAATGTTAACATTGGCATGGGGGAATGTGCTGCTGTCAGACATTGTGAATGCTGTCATATTTCTGCAAATGTAGGTGAAATATTTTTGACCTTAATTTTTTTTATATTCTGAATACAGTCAGGTTTAATTTGTAAGTCCAGTCGTCTTTTATGTTCTTTATTACAACAGAGCACTTCAATAGGAGCTTTGACTCTCTTTATCCTTATCAAGCCCTCAAAATATAATGTTTTGTACAACCAATGTACCAAAACAAAGATAAAACTATACGGTCAGACCAATAAAAAGCAGCAACTGTCACATGAGAGAGTCTAAAACAAAGGTCATGTTTTTAGACGTGCATTCATCATGGTTGGTTGGATATTTACACCTTTGACAAAATTATCTTAACAAATATCAGATGGATTGCCATAACATTTAGAACAGACATTCATGGTTCCCAGAGGATGAACCCTTCTTATTTTGGCAATCATCTGACTTTTTTTCTGAGGGGAAATAGGGTAATGGTTGGACAATAACTGGATGATATGATTTTCATCAGCACGGGCCTTTCTTCCATGAGTAGATGGATTGTGTGTTGATGGTAGCCATCAATTTGCAAACCCTTGCAAGAAAGTTAAGGAAGGCACTGACCTTAAATTGTTAACGTTAGCATAGGTCGTCGGACACTGTGTCTTGTGAGAGCTTTCACAAATTGAGGGTTACCATTAAGACACAACCTAGTAGGAGCTTGCTTCCTTCTGAACGGGGATATGGTTAGTGGTTGTTGTTTGAAAGAAGGAATATATTTCCTACATGGAACTGCTTTCAACAAGTTATGTGGATTTGTTGAGTAACCGGGTCATGATATCTGGAAAGGAACATTACTGTTGAGTTCTCAAATGTATTTTTAGGTGCTTTGGCTAAGTGCCATCTACTGCCAATGTGAAGAACATCCAGCATCTCATACCAAAAATCGAGATTGAAAAATAGGACTGCAGGAAAGTCAACTGCTAATGTTTTGGTGCAGACAATTCTACACTGATAAATGTTCATCACTGTCAGATTGGGTGACAATAATTATTACAAACGATTTAAATACTACTTGTTCTCTAAGATATTCCCAACAAAAAAGTAATTTCACTGTCTTTGTTATGAATGATCAAGGAAGTGACATACTTCAGAGTAAGCAGCCAACAGTAATAGCTCTTTTTAAAGGGTTTTAAAACCTCAAAGATAATAATGAGGGATATTTGGCTTTAATTTGGTTCAAGTCATCTGAGCTTTCATAACAGTCTTCTTCCTGGGCTCTGGGCCTCTCCCTTCAGCATTTGCTCTTCCTGCTGCTTCTGCTCCACTGCCTGACAACAGCAGGAGCTTTCAATCCTTGCAGCTTACACACCATCGCGAACGGACAACTGCATTAATACTTCAACGTTTTTTGTAGTTGTAGTCGGCTAAGCTCTCCGGATATCACTCCCTTTTTGACATTCATTCTCCACAAGAACAACATATCGTTAATCTCCCCCGCTGCTCTTTGTCTTTGCAAAACAACAATGAAAAACACATTTCATGCATTGTCTCTTTATTATGAATGTGCTGCAGGAGTATAATATTCCAAGTGCCAGCGTAATCTTTGTTTTTTACAATTTCTTTCATCAAATATTAACAAAAATCCACAGCATGCCAATAACCACAAAGATTATAGAAGCCCGGTGGTAACACAATGTCAGTAACTGCGCCTATGTTAGATCAAAACTACTTAAACTCATATTAACTAGAGAGTTATCACAATATTGAGATTTATATCTGCAGAATACATCACTGTCAATTACAATTAAATGTACATGTTAAGTGGTAATTGAGGGGAAAAGCTGCCGCATTAAATCATTACAGAAAGTTGTCTGCATGTGTGAGTATCGGTACATGATTCAATATCCAGAGTTTTATAGATCATCGATGAAGCCCAGGTGCTTCAGATCACAGTGAGTAGATTAAAGGTTAGTTAAGAATATAAGAAGAATAAGATATAATAATAAAGACAACCAAATGGGCAAATAATGATGGTTCTCATTGCCGTTTTAGGTTTTTTAAAGGGGACAAAAAGCCACAATCTGTCTTGTTTGCGAGTATGAGCTACCTGTGGCTGCAGACTGAGGCTGGAGCCTTTGGCTGCAATAACAAGCAATTTCATTTGTTAACCAAATACAGATGCCCATATGCATACAACTATACCACCAACTGTCAACCGCGGCACAGCACTTCAAGAGCATCACTTATGCTTATGAAATTCAGTTTCAAAGTGATCTTTTACAAACATTATCAAAAGATATATTGATGATAATAATTAGTATAGTACATGCTACAGTGTTTTTTGTTGTGTACCCTTCCCAGGCTCACAGTGGTCAGTGGTGTTGAGCGGATATACAAACAGTAGAGTTGCAGCAGAGTAAAAAAACATGTTTCGTCTCTACAACAACTCTGTGTTTAGAGTCGGCTCTTCTTTTTGGCACATATATTTCCTTCCAGTGATGACTGTGCCTCCTGTGTCAGACTTTCCATAATCCCTTGCAGTTTAGCACCCGTAGCTAGTCCTTGGTAAGCCTCTTTTCCATCCTCTTTTGCCACCCGTACACATGATGTATGGGCGGCAGTCATGAGAACCACAGAGAAGAGTCAGAAACAAGAGGACACACAGCGATTCAAAGTGTTTCTTCTCTTCCAGGACTAATATCTGCTCTGTGATTCCAATGCAGCCAAACCAAATCCCAGAGCTTCTCCCTGTTTGAGAGGATATTTGGCGGCAAACAGATGTGTCCTGTCATCGGGTGCCGTGAAGGGCGGACATTTTGTTGCATGTGGCGCTGAAACTGGGAGGCAGTCCTTGATGGTTCACGGTCTGAAACCACCTCCACCCAATTGTCTAGTCCAGCTTGCTTGAGTCACTTCTCGAAGAGTTTCTCAAGAATCGTTCTGAATGACCAGAATACGAAGGGGCTGATTAGACTTTCTTCTCCCTTCCTCTGACTCAGAACAGCAGCATTTGCATATTTTATTTTCTTCCATTAGCAAAAAGGGATTTATATAGATTACAGAAATACAAGTACGCACTGTATATCGGGTGCATATTTGTCACACATCCAGGTAATGACTAGGCGGTAAAGACGGTGGTGCAGGTGCGGGCCAGATGGTCAGTTGCCTTATCCAGTTTCATCCTGGGATGAAACTCAGGTTTTCACATTTACTAAAAAAAAGAAAAGGAAGCGTATTAGTTTTAGAGAGTTATATTGTGAAACGACTTGATATAGATGGATAAACTTCACAGACCACAGAGGACAAGTTATGTCATGAGAAAAACACGGGTTGTCCCTGAGCCCTTAAAGTTGTGTGCTCTTCTAGTCATTGAGTTAATTAGAACATGTCTCGGCTTAATGAGACCCAACAGGCAGCATCAAAAACAAAGTACAGATGAGTATCTGCTTGACTGAAGGGGAAAGGCAAAGAGTCTTTTAACTGACAATACATGTATACATTTAATCATGAAGTACAGAAAGACAAATATTACTCTATTTCTCATACACGGGTCAGTTACTGCAGGGGGGTTCCCATTATATTGTACTTATATATGTTTTCAAATGGTTTTCTAATGTCTAAAAACTACAGTAATATGAATCCAACATTCTTTTAGCAACACCATTTTTTTTCTACACAACACTGAGGATAATCTCACTTACAAATGAATGTGCAACCATGTGAGCTAGCTTACCTGTGCTAAACATTGTTGCCTTTCCATAAAAGCAAACTAGTTAGCTAAAGCCATGTCAAAAAGTATACTTTGTATCCCTGGCTTAATAAGCAACTCCATTTTCTATGAAGTAGGGTTATTGATTCGTCTCTTTTTAAACTAAGGAGCCATTGTACTTTTAGGACACCTCTGATGATCAATTATAGTCACTGCTCTGTTATCATATCTCTTTATTCAGTACAAGAAATGTACATGTCTTTGTCTTGTGAGCATGTCAACAACTAACACGTTGACACATGATATGTAGACACACAGGGACAGAGAGCCTTCACATTATGTACCAGCAAACAAGGCGAGACATACATCTGACAGCCGACTGCACATATCACCACAGAGACACACACAGCTGGAGGCAGGAGGCTGCCGGGCCGATAAACAAACATGTCAGCAAATGTGTGTTTGAGTCTCATGTGATTAATGTGCTCTGATCGCTGTATAGCAATGACATGGTTCCTAAAGTGCCGCCCTGAGTCGTGCAGGCATTGTAACTGAGCGCGGTATATTGCCAACAAGGGTAATACTATCAGTGATTACAGTCAGATTATGCTAACGAAGGTTAATTTTATAATGTCTCGGGATAAACAGGGACAGCAGCACTGACAGGAAAATCAGTGTTAGCAAGGCTATTGATACAAATCAGGGGGATTAATCACTGCATACAGAGGGGTAAAAAGGTGAGGTAAGGGTTTAGAGCAGCGACAACTCGAATAACAGAAAAAAAACAAGATTAATTTGTATTATAGCCCCATTTATATATCACGGTCTTGCAATTACCTTTAATGTAATTCTTAGTCTGTACGTATTTAAAAGTGTTTATTATTATTATAGTCCTATTTCCCCTATGGTTATTGTCTATATGAATGTAATGTATTTGGAATTTATCAGTTTAATAACTGTTTGGTGCATTTCTTTTGGTGCTTTTTTTGGGCATGTGCTAGAGCAGGTATATTTTGTATTTTCTTTATACTGTATGAACAACAGAGTACATGGATTGGTATAATAAGTTGTGATATTTAATACAGAATGTCAGAAAATGCTGTTTTCATGCATCCAAAGACATCATTTTAGGCTTTGAGAAACAGGGATGAAAATGTTTCACTATTTTACAGACCAAATGCTTAATCGAATATACAAATAATAATAAGTTGCAGCTCTTTTAAGGTTCAAAGGTCAGATCTTGGAGACTCACTGGCCAGGTTGACGATGCAGGCGATGATAATGAGCGTCCCTCCAACTAGAGACACTATGGAGAGCATCTTGGCCACTCGTCCCAAACGCACAGCGCCGTCCAGGTTTCCCTGCTCGAGGCTGTTCTTGGACTGAAGGAGAAGGAAGAACCATCTGTTAGCTTGAGACATGTTTATAATTATTTAAAACACAGCTAAAAGATCCTGTTCTCACCATGATAGAGTAGACAAATCCCACAATGTTGATGGGCCACACGGGGCAGAAGCAGGCCAGCACGGACAGGAAGAGGTAGTCTTTGACCTTGGTGCGGTCCAGCGGAGGGTTGGTGGCGATGCTGGAGTGGCGGGAGATGGACGGCCTGGGCGAGAAGGCGGTGTAGCCGACGGAGCTCGCCCTGCTGCCCTTCCTCGTCTTGTTGTGGTGGGGGTGGGGGTAGGAGATGGAGTGTTGTCTTCTGGGAGGAGAGCAGATGACCGGAGAGGGGCTCTCTGCGGGCGCCGAGTGGATCCCGTTACCTACACATGAGGGACAGAAAAGGACGAGGAAATGTTAAAACACTGGAGGAGATAAATGTGTGAACTGCCTTTTAAAACTAAAATACCAACACTTTCAAGGTATCTAAACCAGAAGAGATAATTGAGAAGTGTAAAGAATTCCCATATACCCATAGGAATTTATGTATATTATTTTACGAGCTGTTACTTTTGATTGGATGATTTGATCTTGATTATTTTATTGCTAGCTCCAGTCTGCTGTCTGATGTGAAAAGCAAGCCGGCAATAAGCATATATGACTTGGTGATAGATGTATTTCAGATAATCAAAGATTCTTGATTCTGCAAATGAAACACTAAATTATGTTGAAAATGAAGCATTGCCTTTTGATTGAGTACATTTGAAGATTGCTTAAAATCAAGCATTTTCCATACATATATGGAGACTTTGTAAACCCAGGTGGATTCTCTTAGCACCACAGTTGCTGATATTCTTCATATCCTTCACATCTTTAAACCCATGGTCTTTTTCACTGAGGTTTAGTAAAGGTGGTTAGACATAGGACCTGATATTTTCTTCTATTCAACCGGCTGCCCTTGACTCCTCCACTGAAACTTGACTTTGACTGAGTAAGCTGACTAAGCAGCTGTTAAGCCCCCTCCTCCTCCACCCGCTGCCTCAACACGAGGTCAAACTCCGTCACTTACTGTTCTTCAGCTTCTCGTTGATGACAATGACCAGCTCGCCTTTGGATTTGCTGCGGGGGGGCCTCGTGATGACCGGGCTGCTGCTGCTGCTGCTGAGGATGAGAGGCTCAGCTCTGACCCCCGGACATGGCACAGAGACGGAGGCTTGGCTCGACACCGAGTCCTCCTGGTCCAGCAGCGACGGCTGGTCCTCCCCGGCCCAAATGGCAGGAGCTGGCGTCATGTTCACAGCCATGCTGTCAGAGAGTGAAGCCTCTTGTTTGTGGTCCATTTCTGTGTGTGCTGCCTGTAGTTCACCTAGGGGTCAGAACATGGGTTTAAGCATCTTTGTAAACAGAAGGTGCTACACCCCCCATCTGCTTAGGGAGTGTACACCAATCATTGTTGCGTTGTTTTTGCTGAAAATGTGTACTATTTTCTTTTTAGAATAGCAGTGTTTTGTCACCCTAAAATAACATTCTATTTAATTTCAACAAAAGAAAATGGTATATTCACATAAAAAAGATTAAACACTAGTATTAATGGTGCATTTTGCAGTACAACAACAATGCTCTCTCTGTATCAGGGGCTTGGAAAGCTAATCAAAAACCACCAAAAGATAAGATCAATGGAGGTTTAAGAACCAAAATAAAGGGATCTATTACATTTCTACGGAGCACATTGATATATTTGGCCTAGAGTAGCTCCTTCTCACCCGAGAGCAGATCTGAACCCTTTCACGCATAGAGGCTACTACAGTGGACAGCTTTTCAAAAGGTGTTTTCTTATATATGCATGGGTATTGATGGCATGGTTGCACCATCAGCCACTACATAGGACCCTATTGCATCATCCCATACACTGCCACTCAGTGGAGAGTCAGTGTAAGTGCATGATACATTTCTCTAAACCAAGATGGACGACAGAAAGCCAGATGGACCGAATCACTCGTCGATATCTTGCCAATCCTTTTATGGAAAGCGCCCCCTGCAGGTATAACAATGTTGGTGACATCAAGTAACAACTAAGGAATCATATAATTCATAAATTGTCAAAGTATTGATTTTATGTTTGTAGGAAATTATGATTAATCACCTGTCCACTAAAGTGGACGTCATGGCTATATGGACGTAGGCCTACTGGCTATATTTCAACTACAATTCATACTGTTACTGCTACTGTTGTTCTTGAAAACACTTCATTTGCAATATCTTTTTGGAAAGTAAATCAATATACTTATGTTATGTCATTTTAAGTTTGCACATCTTTATTTATCATTTTTTCCAAATGTACATGTCTTTAGTTCAAACTTTAACACATACTGTCCTGAGTGGACATATACATTTTTTTTCTAAATTTGGAAAAACTAGATAAAAATAAACTAAAGTTAAAATCTTGTTTTTCATGCCCCAAGACCAATAAAAACACTTGGTAAAAAATCCTGACTGAGGTTTTCATAATTCATGCATGAAAGGGTTAATATAATTTATACATGTTTCATCGACAGTGACCGTCTCTACAGTAGGTACAAGAATAAAGAATGGATTGAATATTTGGTCAAAAGGTTATTGTGTTTTTTTTCGATAATTTGGACAAGAGCTAATATAAAAGGTTTTCAATACCACAAATAGAATCATTAGTCTGTTTACAGGTCTTGGGGAATAACACTGTATTTGTATAAACATTTGCAAACCCCATTTTGTGGCTTCCAGAGGGAGCTGTGAGGAATCTGCATTAGCTGCTGCTAGCATAACAAACCAGATCTCCAATCAAACTGATGGCAGCCCACTAGCATTGTGGGTAATGTAGATGCCACGTCTTGAAAAAGGCAAATGAGTGAACACAAAAAAAGACTAAGTACAATGCTAAATCAGTGGATCACTTTTAAATAAAAAATCTGAAATTCTTTGTCATAAATGTTTCTATGAAATGTTATTTATTCAGATATTGGGGAGGCCGTTTCATTTTCTAAGTCAAAGGGAGACCCAAATAAAAAAAATTATGCTCCGAAAGGTCAAACGTGTTAAAATAGTGAACAACATTCTTCCCACCAGTCTCACTCCAAATACTTTCATACAGTCCCTAAAGTATGAACTTGCTTTAGCTTATTTAGAGTTTGGATCCAGGCTAAATATCATTATAAGGCCATTTAAAAATCCACCTATAGACTTCAGATAAAATGCTCGACCATGTTTCACTTTCAAATAAATACTAGGTAAACACAAAAGACACGCATGTCCACCTGTAAATCAGGCCTTATAGAATAAAGCAGACCATGTTCTTCAAGTAACAATGAAAGCAGGTCACAATGACACGAGCTGCACAAAGGCAGCAGCAGGGCTCTCCCTGCAGGTGTGTACATAACATTATTTCATCATGTGTACACAGGCGCTAAAAGGCATATGGTTGCCGGTTGTTAGGCACAGAACAAAAGGTAAAATAGCAAAAGAGGATGAGGACAAAGGAAAAATACTCTGATGGAGTAAAGGAGAAAGAGGAGGGGGGATTAATTAGCCCGATGCCCGTCTTTGAATTCACTGGCTAAATTGCCATGATAAGCAGAAAAAAACAAACAAGCAGCGTGCATCGGATTTCTGCATTCAGACTTACTTAGTAAGCGTTTTACACCTACACACACACACACACACACACACAAGGGGGAGGAAAAAGGAACATAAATCACACTGACCTTTTTAATCCAATCTCAGAACAGCCGGAGCGTGCAGGGTTTACGCATTGTTGTTGTCAGGTGTAAAAAAATCATCAGACGCGGAAAAAACACATCTCTTAACCACGATGTGTGAGCAAAGGTGAGCCGTTTGTGTAAAATCCGATATATTATGTGTGCAAGCAGGAGAAGCGGTGGTGTGGAGCCTGGATCCAGCGCAGTGTGCGGGAAGGATGGATGGACGGCGGGCTGGAGGAGGAGGGGTGTGTGTGAGTGCGTGTGTGTAATGAAAAGTGAAATCTGACAGACGACGTGCTGTGGGAGAAGGAGGCGGAGGCTGGATTATAGCATCCTCCTTTCCTCACAAACAATTAAACCGCTGTTTGAGTGAGTATTTATGACCTGGTGCTGGGATCACATCCGATGATAAAAACCGGTCTTCCAGTCAAAAATTAGCACTATTAGGTCATCAAACCGGAAATAGGAGCCAACTACTTACAGCAAATGTAAATGATCCGAGAGAAAACAGGGTACATTAGGTCATATGTGAGAGTGACCTTCTGATTTATTGATGATCATGAAATAAACACTCAAATATTCAGGGGCAAGTGATGGGTTTATTACAAAGCAGGAGTGCGCCATCAGCTGGAACACTGTAGTAACTACAAAAATATCACAAAAAAAAAACTCGCCAGATAAAGGAATATATACAATAGACATGGGTATATTATTAAAAAAAAAAAAAAAAAGTTTAAAATGAATTTCCCATGACACTCAAGATGTTTGCCTGGAAAGAAAAAGAGAAATGAATGTTAGAACAGACAAAAAACAAGATCATCCCTAAAAAAAATCTGCCCAAGCATCATCTCCAATGATTAGCAGATACAATATTCACCATCTCAGAACGCCAACATTTGCATTACCTTTATTGTTTTAAGTCAAGTAGCACACTTTAAAAATGTGTTTCAGTTACGTAGTAGTATTCGTTTATTTGTCCCCGAGGGGAAAATGGGTTGCAGCACATCACAAAGGCATTTAAAAAGATACAACCGACACAGATTAAAAGAACAGACATAAAAAAACAGATATCGGCAGACATGACAAGGGGCCTAGGCCCTCATTTGAGCGAGAGGGGGGGGGGGGGGGAATAGTGCGTCCTAGCCAACAATTAATTATTAATTATACAATTAAGTTAACTGTTTTAAAAAAAGACAACATTTATTTAGGCCTTGTTATGCCATAGTGAGAAAGGAAATTTAGAGGAAACATGACTTGCAGCAATTGGTCTGGCCAAAAGGTAACCACATTAGCATCAATGTGTTTAGAGCCCTATCCACTCTGCTATGGGATAACCCAATATTTTTTATTTCTTACAAAATGTATTATAAAAAGCAAAACAATTGCATTTCATGGGTTGAAAATGGCTCCACAAGCCAACTACTGACTTCAATCAGCCCTGGCAAGGCAAATACTGACAGAGTTGACCTGTTGGGACTTATAGTTATGAAATGTATATGTATGTTTAAAAAGAATACATGTTATAAAAATGTAAATATTGCACTGAAGACTTGGCTTACCTTCATGAAAGAGGGATATCTCTTTCCTGTCATACCCTCAACTTTTATCAAATCGTCCAACTGCAAAATAAACCGTACATAAAGTCAACACTTACAAGTGAAAAGCTGAAATCAGAAGAAATACTTAAGTATGAGGTATTGTAGTACCAGTTGTAGCTCCACATTTTCTCTACAAACCTTTTTGAATTGGCCATGGATCTCCCTCCAGCCCAGGATGAGCTTGGCCTTCTTGTCTCCGATCAGCTGCAGACCCTTCAGCTCTTTGAGCGAGCCGCTGTTCAGAATCTGCAGGATCTTATGTTTGGAGATATCCAGCACAGATGTGTCGAGTTGGGACTCCCAGCCTATCTCTATGCAGTTCTCCTTACCCTCTGGAGGCTGAAGGACAAGAGATAAATAAAGTATAAAAGTTATTTTGAACACTTTTGACAATTGGCATTTATAATTAATAATTATAAAAAAAAATTGAAATCTTTTCTATCGTTAATTTAGACCTAATACATTGGAGATCTTGTAATGTCTGTCCAGGCAGAAAACAAATTTAACCTAATGCGCTACGTCAGCTTGTTGCTGATGTCTGCAGATGTGTCAGGCTAATAAGCGCAGCAGAGTCACGCTCGGATGCTGACCTCAACCTGGTCGAAGAGCTTCTTCTCTTTCTTCTTGGCGCAGACGGACTGTTTTTTGACGACTGCAAGCTTCTGAAATGGCTGGAGCTGGGTCACTGATAGGGAGGAAACTACAAGAAATGAATTAAAGCTACACAATTACCTGTAAACAGTGAAAAAAAAAACACTTTTCCAACAATGTTGGCTTTAAAACTGTTAAAAGTTAATGTTCGTTTGGGGACTACTGCTGTTTAGGAGCCAAAGGTGTGGGACGGGCATCACCGTATCCATCTCACTCCCCAAGCTGCTGAGGGGTTTAAAAATAATTTGTCCTCATCGTCATTGGATACGTTTTCTGACTTGAATATTGTAGACGGAGCTCTTGTGTCACGTTACAGCTCATCAATAACTCCAGTGATTCAACATTAGTGAGTGACTACTCTTAAGTGAAACAGAAAGATGACAAAACCTGAGAATAGATTTTACAAGGTCATTTCTCGAGCAAAACCTCATTGAAGGGTATTTCAAAAAAAGATACGTCACCCCTTAAATTAGCATTATAGATCACCCTGTGTAACCTTTAAAAATGATATGCATGCATCTGGTCATTTTGGGGGAGAAGTGTTCCTTAAAAGAATGTAGTATTTGATACAGCTATAGTCTTAACATGTTGACTTTTTGCATTCATCCCTATTAGATTACACTTTTATTATACTTCTTACTACTCTTATAAGTGTGGTAACGGGTAATTCCCCTCCAGGAGCTCCCTCTGACCTTGTAGGGGCTGGACCACGGCCTGCAGCTTGATGCCTTTAGAGGCAGTCGACTCTTTCCTCTGCAGAGGAGCCAAGCTGTTCTTGAAGGCCGACTCCTGTTTGACTCCGGGTCTTTCACAGAGCACCCGATTGTACAGCATGGCCTTGCTCTCCAACTCCCTCTGCTTCTCTTTGAGCTCCTGCAAAAACAAAACAGTTGGCTATCAAATATCCCTGAAGAAGAGTTAACTGATCAGTATAAAGATCTGACAGCATCAGCATCTGGTGAACCACATACAGAGAGAAGACTAGGTGCAGATATGCGTCATTTAAAGCCATTTTATGCAGGGTAACACGACACACAGGTGGATAAACTCAAGTTGTGGTGTAGATGAGCTCACCTGGATCTTCTTGAGAGAATCGTCCGTGTCTCCGAGCATGCCGGGTTTATCTTTGTCTCCGCAGTTCATCACCAGCTTCTCCAGAGCTAACAGTCTGTCTATCACTGACGGTTCTGACGGACTGAAAGGAAGAAGCACACAAAAAAAAATAAGAGGGAACAAAGGAAGACCATTAGGGGGATTTAAAAGCAATTACAAGTCAAAAGCTCGAGCAATACATGTTGACGATATTCATAAACGAAAAGGCGCGTTCACACCGCAGTACTTTTCCCACTTTAGTTCGGAAATGTCGCGTTCACACCAAAAAGAGCCGGAACTAAAAATGAGTTAATCAGAAACTTTTTTTACACCCTTTTCCGTCCCTGCTAGAGAGCAGGTACTTTAGTGGGAGAAAAAGGTTCCAATGCTGGTGCATCTCTCTATAAAAAGGGATCCCAGTAGACACAGCAGATGTTGCCAAAGGGAGAACTGCAGAGAGTTGCTTTCAGGACAAGCTGTGAATATTTGAACACCTTTTTTTTCAGTTGGTGTTTTGCAGATTTGATTTAGTATTTCAAATGTTCTGCATAGTCAAAGTGCCCTGCTCCTAAGTCTGATTGCTTTAAACAAATAGGTTTGCTTGGGTGATCTCTAACCTGTGTAAATGGGCCGAAATCAGGGAACCATCCTGTTCGGTTTTCTTCTCGTCCCTCTGCCTCTTCTTCTGTGGCTCGGTGCCAAACCTCCCCGCCTCCTGTCCATCTCTGGCCCGCTTCACTGGAGACGAACGCAGAAGGGAAATGAACAGTTTAGTATTCAGTACACTTGAGCAACACTGTCTGTGGGGTTCTCCAGAGGGCAAAGCAATTCAGATGAAGATGGCACAGCATCAGTCAGAGATGCAGTGCCAGGATTAGAGCCAGGGGAAAGACCAGCATCAGGAATGCATTTAAAAATAAAACTACAAAAAAAAACGTTTAGAAGGAATAAAAACGCTGTTTACGCTTAGTCACCATCCTCTGGGATGTAACACGGATGCCCCCTATTGGCTTTGAATGACATTCCGTCAGTGCTTCCTCTTTAAAAAGGCCTATAACAACCCTCTATACCAACAAGCGATTAGAATTTTAAAAAGTCAAAGCATTCACACTGAGTTTTACTCACCTGGCAGCGCAGGCACAGCCACAGTTTCACAGATGAAGGGCTTATTGACAATGAGTTTAGATTTGGAGGCAAAATTGAGTGCACCAAAAGTATCAAAGTAGAATTTGTACTCCGGCGCAATGTTGGTGATCATGACGGAGTGCGCCGAGCCGCCCAGAGAGTCCTGCAGCAGCCGGGTCAGTTTACTGTCTCTGTAGGGCACACGGACGGCGGTGCTGGAGTTAAGAGAGTCCACCACCTTGCTGAGTGTGAAGAGGGAGAGGTTGATGGCCCCGCTCTCCTTCAGGCGGATTCCCTGGTTGCCGGTGCGCCGGTTGTCCTCAGACCCAGCCAAGTCTATCAGGTACAGCTTCCCTGTCTGTTGTCTGTGAGGCGACGCATGCTGAGTTCGCACAACCTAAATAATTGCAAAGACCAAGATTAGAAGGGGTAAAGACACAGAGGTCAGACAGGATAACTACAGGGGAGAAGAAGGAAGTCCATGAGGTGAAGATGGGCCTTTTGGATAAATGTGACACATTGGCCCAGTCAAAAAGTCATGTTTCCCAAGGCCAACAGAGTCAATTAATATGGACTATTTTAAATCAGTTTCAGCAATTATGAGCCGGTTTAATTATCTAATTAATGAGGAAAGGTGCTTGATGCTTACTTTCCCCATCTCATTTAGCAGGGTTTAGACTGGGACATCCTTTAACAAAATAAATGAAAATATTGTAGTCCCTCAGTTCCATGAGTTAGCAACATGCAAGGTACACACACCAACTACATCCGCCATCAGACAATTATATGGGCTTATCTAAGTGTTGTCGCATGCTCTTTGAAACAACATTTTATTTTGCAAACTCCTTAAGAACTACCCCTCATGTCTTTCCATTGAGGTCAAGGAAAAGTACTAAGGAAAAAGATGTAATCAGAGCATCATGCATTCAGCTTTGCATCACAACAAAGTTGGTGAATCAACAGCACAAACCTGTTTGTTTCTTGATTTTAGCAACAGATATAGTTTAATATTAATGATCCACTGGATTCTTATTCGCAGGTCAGTTCAACAAAGAAACCAGCAACTCGTCAAGAGAATTATAAATGATCGGAGTTTATCAGATGACAAATCAAACCTTGAGGAGGAGGACAGCATGGCTGCGGCTGGAGCGCTGGTTTATTTTGGTAGAAGCTGTTGTGCGATTAAGGCTGGCAGGTACAAAGAGTTTGTCAAAGTCTGAGAAGGAGGTGATGGTTGTGTGAGTGAGGCCAGGGATAAGGATGTTTTTGTCCTTGTCCTCTCTGATTTGTAAATCCTGGGAGCCTGGCGATAGAAGATCTAGCACCTGAGAAGATTGATAGATGGTTCAGTGTCAAACTTTAAAAAAAGCACTTTACTAAACAACCACAACAAAGAATAGGATAGGAGAGTTATAAGCGTTTTAAAAAGGTGACACTTTACTGCCAAAAATTCATACCTTCTCATTGTAAATTTCCAAATAAGACATGCTAATGCTGTAGTCCCAGCCTTCAACCTCATTCTTGGCTTTCACCATTTTAAAGACCTCACGAACGGCTCGAGGGATTACGCCCGGCTGATTCGAACTGCCCATCATAGTGTGAGTCTTGCCTATGAAAGAGGAAGAAAGGAGGAAGCACACAAAACATTATTTTTGAAGAAATGTATGTACAAAAAGAAGTGACTGTTAAGAACATATTGTCTCCAAAAAACATTATAAATCCGTTTGGCTGGTAATTTAATCATATTTAGTTGTAGCTCACCCATTCCCAACTATAACCCTACAGTTAATGATATCACATACTATTATATCATTATCAATGGGACACTGGCTGTGATTCTTTTGTATGCAGCCAAGTAAACAAAGCAACAGTTAACAAGTGCATTAATGTGTTAACATACCAGCTCCTGTTGGTCCATAGGCGAAGACACTGGCATTTTGTCCGGTCAGTATGTGTGGTAGAATGGGTTTCACCGAGAGGAAAACTTCTTGCTGTGTCGTTTGCTCACCATGAAAAACGTCAAAACTGTTGGACAATATTTAAAAACATTAACAAGACAATCTATAGAAAATCAAAACATTAAAGAGCCAAGATGCTGAGTACACTGACCTGTATTTGACTGTTTCTGTAGCATTTCTCATGTTGATTATTTCCAGGTTCTTTGAGTCCAGGCCTCTCACACACGATCCCTCGTCTTTCTCATCGTGTGTTCCCATGTAGGGTCGAAGACGAACCACTACCCGAACCCTGGAAACCTTCTTGTTTGCTCCATCTGATACTGCCACACGCTGCGCCATGTCTGAACTGCTCAAAGATAAAAAGGCCCAACATTAGACAATAACATTTTAGCACCTGTGTAAAAGGACAGTATGCTAATGAAAATTGTTACGAAATGTTCTTACAGGTAGGTTTAAAGTGTATCGGATTTGCCCTTAAATAAAGCAATATTAAGCGTTTTACCACAGTAATGATAGCTTCAATCTGCTAATAACAAGCTAACATTAGCTAGCATCACATCACAGTTGTTTCTCAACACGAAGGTTACTTACTAGATAACGTTACGGTTAGTCGCTGCTTTAACTACTGTTTTACTTACGTTTCGTTAAGCTCACCGATTTGATATGTGGAATCCTTGTTCTAAAAGCGTGTTAATCAAAAAGTATCACTATAAGAAACATTGCAGACGCCGTTTTTTAACAATGGCGAACGAGACCCCAAAATATCTAACCGAAGCCTTTTTCAAATCAGGAGCGCTGCAACCGGAAACGACCGTCAACCAATCAGAACTCGACCAAAGACTGGCGCCTATTTAAGGCCGAGTGACCTTATTTATGAGATGTAATCGTGCATCGAATGTATTATTCCTCGGGATGATATATAAACACACATATATAGCTTTTTAAATAATATATTAATTTGAATAGTGAAGCAAAATATGTGTTTTACAATTTCGGCTGACGTGATTGCAGCCCTGTTTGCGATTGCGCGCTGCACAGGAAGTCGCGCCAAAGGTAGATCTACAAAACACACACATAAACTGCTGCCTGCTATACACGCTGCTGATTGGACCATCCACATGATGTTTTAATCAGCGGCGATACTGCGCAGTAAGGAACTCAGCAGGTCGTCACACAGCCCTTCTAGTCCAAAATGGCGCTATGTTTACGTCTCTGCATAATCGTGTATTATCTCTAGCAAGTCTCATGGAGAACTTAGTGGATTTTATTGACTGGGAAAGATAATTTGACCGAACGTTTAGCTACAAGAGTGACCTACGACAAACCGGACATTTGGTAATGTTCATTTAAGGCACGTTTTTTTAAATTGCACTTTGCTGTTAAGAAATAGCTAGGCCAGTGTTAGCTAGCTACCTAAGTCAAATAAGAATATATTACTACTTAATGTGTTGCTTTGTTGACTGCCTATCAGTCAGCAAAGTTAACAGCTATCGTTAGGCTGTTAGTTAAACTTTAAGGGCTTGATTGACTGCAAGCTCTCTTTCAGGAACTCTTACCCGACACATCTGAAGTAACTTTCTGTTGCACTGTACTAACATGCATGTTTCTGTTCAGCAGATCTGTGGCTACAAGGTTGACCAGCAGCAGTACGGAGGATGCAGGCGGAGGCCACGGACTCTGCCCTGAGGGAGGGCATAGAGACCCTGGGTATGAAGGACACAGAAAAACCTGCAGAAAAAGAAGACAACACAGAGAAACAGGGCACAGAGATGACAGCTGTCCCAGTGGAGGTTTCAACGATCAAGGAGGAAAAAGGTAACTTCATTAAGAAACACATGACAAAAAGACTGAGGGTTGTATAGTATCTGCAGATACAATAACCTTCAAGGCAAACACAGCTGGAAATAACTTTATTAAGGAATATTAAATAACTATTAAGGAGAATGGATCACATTACCCCATTTGTTACCTTTATAAAAATAGATATACACTTGGGGATAAAGCTTTAAATTACCTTGTTCCTTCCTACCTCATTTTTATTTTATATGTCAGTCAGATCAACCAATGTATTCTTTAAAATGCATCTTATATGGCTCTGGATTTAAGGATCGGCAAGCTCTTTTGGTGGTTTGAAAGGAATTTAAAGGCGCATCTTTTTTTCGCTGTTTTCCTTTGTTTTCCTTTCCATTATTTTCCCAAGTTTACTAAGAGTTTTAACCTGTGCTTGATATGTAAAACATTTAGCACTGTGTTGAGTTGTACATGCAATAACTTGTTAGTGCTATAATTGTGGATTTGTGGAACTGATTTTCTACGCATGTTTGCCTTTCAGGTGATACAGATGCAATGGAAGTAGATCAACACTGTGAGGCGCCTCAGGCAGACACAGGGGTGGAGGCTGAAAAGAAAGCGCAGGCTGTTGGAGGGGATAATGAATGGGAAGTTGCGTACAGTGATGAGGAAATTGAGGACCCCAAAAACTGGATGCCCCCTACTACTGAGATCAAAAGACTCTATGAGCTTCTCTCTAAAGGGGAGATGCTGGAACTGAACTTTGAGCCCCTTCCCAGGAGGCCGCCCACTCCTGAACGCACCCCCTCCCCAGAAAGAGAGGACGAGGACGAGTCAGTTAAGGAAAGAGAAAGGGAGGAGAGTCAACACAGGTCAGTAAATCTACTCCTCATCATGTCATCTTTAAGGATTTAGGTTTATTTACAGGCATTTTAAAGCTTTTTGTGATTTTTCTTTTTTCCAGGCCTATAACTCCGACTGAGTTTGACTTTGATGAAACGCAAGCCACACCAAAAAATGCCTTCATGAACAGACGCAGAACACCAGGTAAAAACCGTTGAGATGTGGTCTTTTAAAACCCTGACAGTATAAGTTAATTAATGAAAGGTGATTGTCTTATGGAAGCACAGTAAAATAGATAGTTAAGTAGTTTGTTTTAGGGACATCCAGTTGACATTTTTCCCTTTTTTCCCAGGATCTTCAGCTCGCTCCTCTGTGAAAAGGGAAGCTCGGCTGGACAAAGTACTGTCAGACATGAAGCGCCATCGCAAAATTGAGGAGCACATCATGCGTACGGGTCGAGATCTGTTCAAGAGTGAAAAGAAGAAGGAGGAGGCTCTGTCTCCAAACAGCCAGAAGGAGCGCGAGAAGGAAAAGGAACGAGACAGCAACCCAAACACCATCTTCTCCCCGAGACAGAGGAGATACTAAAGTATTCACGGAGGAGATGAGGACTTGCCCACAGGCAAATAAGGCGAAGAGCTTTTTAAGGCTTTTTCAAAACTTGAATTTTTTTATGTAACGAGTTTTGTATGTTTTCTATGTGTGTTTTGTATGTTGGCAATAAACATTTGAACCCTGGAGAATGTCAATGGTTGTAGTGAGTGTGCAGTGAGGGTTGGTGATGTGGATAAAAGTCCTCTGCAATGGTATGTCATTCTGATCACAGTATACAAAGTTTATGAACTTTATGGATAACGAAAACCAGGGTTAATAAGGTTAATGATCACATTTATGCAAAAATTGAATAAAAAAAACATACAATGTAGTCCTGCTCATTAACCTACAATGCCTGCTGTGGCCTAATACACCAAGATAGGATTATGGAGGTGTATCACTCTAAATGTAAAGTCCTAATTGTGTGAAATTCCTCCTATCAGCCAATTAAAGTGTCTTTGAGTGGAGTTCCCAACTTTTCCCTAAAGGAGCCTTTTTCTATCCTCGAGTACAGTTATGACCCCTAAATAGCATTAAGATATCTCATAATTTAAGCATAAGAACAAGATTGAAAACTGGTTTCTTTGGTTACTGTTCATACAATTTACACTGCATTGTTTTTATTTTACCAATCGTACTTTATTGATTTAGAATAACCTAATATAGAAGCTTTTGTTTGGGTCACATTGTGTCTTTTTCCATTGGAGATTTTAAACAAAAGTTGATGTATTAAAAATTAATATAAAATGCAACAACGTTGTCTCATACCTATGTAATACCCAGAATGAACCCACGTAGAGCTTTGGCATCCTTGACACCTCCACTTTTAGATGTTTGAAATTGAATTGCTAGCAAAGCAGTCATTAGATAGATACATGAAGTGTGGCGCCCTCTAGTGGCTCAGACTTGTCTGAAGTTCAACTAAGTTCAGGATTGAAAAAATGGAGTTTGATTATTAATAATTTAACAGTCTAAAAAGCTTGTGAAAAAAGAAGACTGGAGGCAGGTTCAGGACAGAGAAGTATATTTTAGCTAGGTTTGAGTAACAATACAGCCTTCACATAAGGCTCAGAAGCATATAGTATAATATGTATGCATAAATATGCATTCAAAACCACAAACCAAATAAATTAATAAATTAATACTTACAAATAAATAACAAGCATTTTGTGGAATATACAGTACATCAGTTGAATGGTTAGTAATGTCAAGAAGCAGTACCTTATGAGTTCATGGAACGGGAATGGATGTTCTGTGTTCAACATGCCCACAGTGGTCCAGATGTTTTTGCACACGCTGCCCTGTCTAGATGCTTTCGGAGTTGTGTTTTTTTTTTTTTCTTTACCCATTTTCCGGACAGTGAAGCTGCTTTAAACAAAAATGATAAAACTAGCCTGTTTGATCACAGGAGGTTCATAGAACCGGTGGCTCAACGAAACGGCTAAGTGACTGAAGCAATGCAAGAGGTGTAAAAAGCTTTAAACAATTTGACTTAATGGTTAAAACCAAAACCAAATGAGAAACATAAGTTGCCATGGACAAATGTGCTGCGTGTCTATCACAAGGGAATGCTTCCCTACAAGATTTTTCACTTTTGTTTCCCTTCAAACCTGCAACATTGCAAGTCCCCTGACAAAGATATAAATACTCAAAATGTTATGGATCCCTTACCGACTTATTCCAGCCAATCAAACGGATATTTTGAGCTTTATAACAAACAAACAAAAACACTCATTTCAAAGTGGCTGCTACTGTGCATCACTTCCTTGTATTAAAAAAACAAACACTTTGTGATACCAGTAAATGGAATGAAGTCATATCTACACTAAAACGAGAAGCACTGCCATAACGTCTGTGGGAGATCTGCCAACACTAAGCTGTGAAATGTTTTGTTTTAATGCTGAAATGTAATTGTTTGGAAAACGTCTGTGGTAACAGCAGATGCAGAAATTAGACAAAACCTAAAAACAATAAAATAAAAATGTAAAACCAACATTCAACTAATACTGACATGGAAATCAGGACAATTTTACACTGGCTATGTACACCCGCCACATTTTTCTGTCTGGAGCCTCCTCCTCCTCCTCCTCCTCCTCCTCCTCCTCCTTCCAGGATAAAAATAAATAAAAACCTAAACTGCAAAGAATGGGGAAAAGGGATAAGGCAGCAGAAAACAGTCTTATGAGATTATCTCCCTTCTAAAGATGAGTCAGTCTGCAGGTTGGTTACATTTTGTTAGAGTGACAGTGACTACATAGAGGATACAGATATTAAACACTAACAAGTCAAAATACTGCTTAGCCGAGATTCTTTTCTTTTTTGGAGGTCCTCTTCATTACTAAACTGAATTAGGCCTTCCATCTACAGCAAATGTACTAACATACAATAGAATACATTCCTATGTTCCTGCTCTTCCTATACCGTGAGGCAGAGAGGACTCAATTTGATCTACGTGAGGGAAATAGTCACCTATGCTCGCTATACATCCAGGCAGATTCCTCTCAGGTCAGTGCATGTTTCTATCCGTCACAGTGCCGGATGACATCTTTAAATACTGAGAGCACTAACACTCCACTAGTTTCCTACAAACCGAGACGCTGAAGTGCTTGAAGGCCGGCCACCAAATCATTTCTCTGTCAAGACTTTGAGTGCAGGCCGCAAACACTTCAGCGCCTTTGAGGCCATTGTCTGTAGCTTTCTTCATATTGCTACTTGTTCCAAGTCTTCCTTTCCCCCTCACAGCTTTCTTCCATTTACATACTCATTGGTACATTCGCCTTCCCTCCCTCCCTCCCATTCACTCTTCTCAGTGAGAGGACAGATCAGGGTCTGAGGAGCGAGCGCTGTAGCCGTTGGCCGGCTGCGGCAGTGCGTTGCCATCAGTCTGCCTCTCCTTGGCGGCACCGCGGGATCTCTGAGAGCGGGAGGAGCCCGTGAAAAGTCGCAGGGCTCCCCTGCAAATGAGGGAGAACCAATAGAGCTGCGGGGCCATGAGCAGAGCGGCGCCGAGGTTACAGTGCCAGGGCACCGACAGGGGGACCATGTGGAAGGGAATGGACGCGTACCTGGATCCAAAGACATAAAGAGTTGTAAACGCGCGCTCTGAGAGTTTCATCCATCAGATAGAGATCATGAGGCTGAGCAGGTTACCGACCCAAGCTGAGCGAGGTAGCAGAACATGAGAAACAGAGATGGAGAGACAGACATACCTTCCATAGGCGTAGTAGAGGTAAGGGAAGAGGAGGACTCGACAGATGAAAAAAGTGATCAGCATAAGAGCCCCATTCACTTTGTGCAGGATAGTGTGTTGCTGTTTGTACTGAGAGCAGAGAAAAAGGTTGAGAGAGGGAAAAAGAAGAGCAAGCAGTACAGTTTGGTGAAACCTGACTGTGTTCATGTATTCTCCTTTGCATTGTTTTTATAGTAACATTGTTATATTTGTTAATTCTATCTTCATGGACTGACATGTGGTGATGGAGGGCACGCTATGCCATGCTGCTGGTTGGACAGGAGAGTGTTTGTCAGTGAAGCAGTCCTTTCGTTTTTACAGAAGATTACTATACTTTTATCTCCAACCGTCAACCTGCTTCAGTGAGATAACACCGAGGACACGCTTATGACTCATTTGCACTGCATGGTACGGCACGGCTCTACCTATATCCACTATGCTCGTTTGGTTATCTTTAGGCAAATATTGTTAAAAGTACTTTTTTGGTAGCACTTTAAAAAGGTCTCAAGCAAGCTGATCACTTAATGGCCTCACTTGCAAGACAACGCGTATCCTCCATTCTTGAATTTATAGACAATCTGCTGTCAATACAGAACCTGATTTTAAAAATGGCCGCCCACAAAGCTTGAGCGCACATTTAAAAGAAATGCAGGATTTCCATTTGTTTGGTTGCCAATAAAAAAAAATGATTTAAAGCGTTGAAGATGTTTTTAATGCAATTTATTCCGGCATCACCGAGTCGAGCTAACCAGCAGAGAAATTACATCAGTTTGGCACCCCACAGACTTTCTCTAAAATCATTTAAAAAGTTTCACTCATACATACCCAATTTGAGTCTCATATCCTAGAATAAAATGGCATCACTATTGATCATTTACAATTGTTTTGGTTCAATAGTGCACAGCTTTTGTTTATCAAACAGCCACATGCACTGTTGTCAGGGACGGGGACGGGGTGCTGAGAGATAGAGGGTAGAAGGACACGCTGATATTGTATCTGCTGAATATCCAGCCTGAATACTAGGGGCTATATTCAGAGGCTAACAGCTGTGGGAGCCTCAGATGGGGATCAAGCGGAGCGCATGGAGGTAAAAACCTTCACCCGTCACTGAAACACTGCACACACATCCACACTAACCTAAAACAAATACTGAGGGGGGTGCAGCTCCTAGTATGTGTATCCAAGCAAACTGTGTTACCAATGGTGTTTCTGACAGTGATGTTCATGTACGACACAGCCAACAGGCACCGATGGGGATGACTGGAAATATATTCTCCATTTAATGAAAAGCAGATCAAAAAGACATGGAGAGTGAAAAAGAACTTTAGTGTGACACATGCGCATGCAACAGTGCACCAATATCTTCTTTGAGTACGAACCCGGATGCTTACCTGGATGAGTATTTTTCCTAAGCAGACTGAGGGAGTGCTGAGCTCAGCCATGAACAGAATACCCTGGAAATAATCTCCCTTTCCTTGTCTCCAGAACTACAGAAAGAAAAGGACGATGATTATTTGTCTAGAATGAAAATACAGCGTTGTTCCTTTGTTGGATTTGCAATAAATACCACTTTGTAAAGAGATATCTAGATTGAAGTAACAAGGAAAACAAAAACAATTCTATGTAATTTGTACTTTTCAATAATCAGAGGGGGCTTCTTAATGTCTCTACTCGTGATACTACTAATCTTACGATTTAGAGCTGCACTGGTAGATCGATTCATAATTTCTATAGCAAAGAGATTACAGATTATCTGGTTTTATTTTCCCAAAAGGGGGTTTTTGTTTTGCTTTTCGTGGCCTCAACAGTATACATAACTCAACATCTTTAGGGCTTCTGAAGTGTTATACACCACACCACTAATTGAGACCACTAATACACGATTCGGCAGATAAACCAATAATAAAAATAGCAG